CTGCACCAATCCCTGAGGCGATCTGAGGTCAAGTGACCAGGGAGTGGCGCTGACGAGGGGAGTAGCGCAGGCCCGAGGAGCAGCAGCAGCAACAATAACAACAATCACCGTCAACATTACCACGACGTTAACATCAACTCTACAAACATCGCTCTTCCCCCCCTCACTCCTCTCCTTCCACTCTTCTTCACCCTCCTCGTCTCCGCCGGCGCCATGTACTGCTGCGTGCCGCGCGTCGAGGACCGATTCGATGAGGTCGGCGCCAAATATGCGGTGAGTTCCACGGGCTCCTCGCTCCCTCCTCCCTCCCTTGGCGCCGAGTCCTCGCTGGGATCGAGCCCGGCGGGCGTGGAGTTAATCCGGCTGCGCCGCGTCTCTTCCGCAGGTGTTCGTGGTTCACATTAACGGGGTCCTGCACTGCCGAGTGCGATACAGCCAGCTCCACGGGCTCCACGAGCTGGTGAGCGCCTCTCGACCCTCACTCTCCTCACGCACCCTTCAGTCACCGGGAGCAGTGTTTCTGCCAATGCTGTACATGTGGAATATAAACGGCCGAGGGGACCGAAGGCCCGGAAAACTTTCCAAGTCGATTCCCGTCTCTGACTCGCTCCGTTTGAAAGTTTCCTTGTTGTTTGTCGTTCAGCTGCGGCGAGTGTATGGGACCCGGGAGCCACCATTCCCTCCCAAGCGGCTCTTCGCGCTCTCTGACGCGCAGACCGAGGAGCGACGGAGACAAATCGAGCAATACCTGCAGTGCAGTGCGTGACAACACGGGGAACCCTCACACTAACCACCACACCACACTCTTATCCACACCCCCACACTTTCCTCCACACGCTCATCCGCACTCACCACCACATTCTCATCCACGCTCCAATCCACGCTCTCCCCACAACACTCATCCACACTTCTCACCACCCCACCACACTCATACACACTCCCCACAAAACTCATCCAAACTCCCCACAACACTGCCCATCTCCCCACCACACACTTACCCGCACTCTCCCCACACACCCAACCACACTATTCCATACTCCCTACCACATTCTTATCCACACTCCAATGCATACACCCAACCACACTCGTACACATTCCCCACCTTCCAACCACACTCGTATCCACACCCCCACACCTCCGACGACATTGTCATCCACACCCCCTACACTTGCCACCACACTCCCCACCACACGTTACAACGCTGTGGGTGATCACGATATAATTTTCTCCGATACCAAGGTTCTTTGCAAACCCACGGGTTTTTATCAGAGATTTGTTCACGAGGTAATTCAGATCTACAGACACAATTTCAACCGAGAAGATGGGTTCAAATTAAGCAGCCATTGGAAAGATGTTCTAAATCGAACTAAACATTAAACTAATTTTCAATGGTACAGTATATTTTTCAAGTAGTGGTACCCCAAACTTTCGCAGCTCTTAAAAATTCCCGTTTCACACCATCAATAGGTAAACTCCCCCCCCCCCGCGCCAAACGGCAAGTCCACCCGCACGTACACCACCTCTATGCGAAGTCGGCCAATCAAATGCTAATTTTTATGCTAATTCCTTTGTCAAGACACCTTGTTTCCTCGCACACAGCTTAAAGGTCCGCGGTCTGAGCGTGGCTGTGTTTCACTCCAGCGCTGTCCTCGAGACAGCCTGATCCCTTCACCTGATGAAGGCCGCTTGTGTTGTGGCCGAAACGTCGTGATTTTTGTTGTTTTATTTTTTACCTACGTGACTTTACCGAATAGAACCAAAGAGTACTAAACCACTGCCCAGAACCCGGCACGACACTCTGGCAATAATCCCTGTGATGGTCCTCCACTGTTTTGCTGTCAGCACGCGTTCTTAACGACATCACAGCCATTCGTGCTTGAAATTCCGGTCACACGCACGGCACTGGGCATCACAATGTTGAAGCAGAGACATGCTTGTGCTTCTGCCTAGCCACAAGAGCATGTGTCTGCATTGTGTGTTTACAGTCAGCCAGGATGAGGAGATGTCAAAGAGTGAATTGGTCACCTCTTTCCTTCGAAAAGCACAGCAGGTAAGTGTCAATAAAGCTTCACTGGTGCTATTTAACTACACAACTACGTCATCCCCTAGTTTCCTCATTTGTGAACCACACACTCATTTGTAGCTGTGTCCACCAAATGCAATAACTGGAGCCCGAGTACAGAACAAATGTGTAAAACCAACCAGGCAGCGATTTGCGTCGGCTCCCAAATTGAGAAGTGTAGAACCCCCAGATCATGGGACCTCCCTTGCCAGTATCAAAATAGAATAGGTTTTGCTCTTTCTGGCAATAAAACAGGTGTTAAGATGTTAAAACACCAAACTGAAACCTTTTTTTAGGAATCATGTCTACTCTGAAGAAAGCTGTCTCTAGTGTGGACCAATCAGTTTCAAAGACAATGCATATACTACCAGAGCAAGTTTTTGTTCACCTTAAGTATATGCGGTTAATGCAACATGATTGCTTGCAAAAGGTTTCAGTTTGATGTTTTAACATCTTAACAAAACTGTTTTATTGCCAGAAAGGGTCAAACCTATTATTATTTAGAACCCCCAGAGTCCGTGTCCCAGCTGTATCAAAAACAACAACGTGTGTCAGTGGTCACTAGGGATTACGTCATCGTCCCAATGTACCAGCAGCCAATCAGCTGCCAGGAAAACCCAATGCAATATGGTTGCTGTGGCATAAAGTCCCCATACACGATGGCCAATGTGACGTCTTGCCACCATGCCGCTCAGCCGGTCCGAGGTTGCCTATTTGTTATTGATGTTTTTTTAAGTGTGTGAGTACATATGTGTAATTGTTAGTGTGTTACTTTGCATTGGAATGTGTGTGTGAGCGTTTATTATGTGCCTGCAGACCTTAAAGGTTGCTCACTAACAGGTTCTTAAAAGGTGACATGTGGGATCTTCTGTTTATAACAACGCATGTCTGTGTGGGGAGAGTATTTATGATTGTGCATGCGTGTGAGTTTTTGTGTGAGAGAGTGGCTATATGCATGGCTCTGGGTGTGTATTTGTGACTGATTTTGTGTCTGCGTGTACATATGTGATATTTTGTGTTTGTGAGAGTGCTCGTCTGTGAATGTGAGTCATGACGGACTTAAACGTTGTTCCCAACCGCCCTTTAGTTCTCTTACATTTACGCTATTCCATTGCCTCAGCAGCTCTCCCGCTATATTTTTCACCTGATGATGATTGCTTGTGTTGCGATCGAAACGTCATGATATTGTTATTATTTTTCTATCTACGTGGTTTTACTGAAAGGCCCAAATAATATGAATTCCATTGTAGTGGCACAGAATTGGGACACATCTTGGCCTAGGTAATTTATAAAATGGTGTCAGTCGTTCGGTACTCGGGCCCCTGGCCCCTTCAATGTGTCACAGTTTGGTGTATGTACTCTTTGCCGAGTTCAAATAATATGAACGTTTCTTGAAAAGTTGGGTTAATATTTCTTAACACTGAAAAATGCAGCTATTCAACTCGTTAAGCTTAAATGTTATGGCTTCTGTAAAAATAGCCATGTCGAGTACTGCTCAACTTAAGCTTGTATATTCAAATAAAACTGGATTATCAGTGACATTTTATGTGCCCATTAGAGGAAGTAGAACGCTGCTGAGGGAATTAAAGTACAGAAGGAATTTATAAAGCAGTTCCGTGTGCATGTGCGATGGAGTATGTGAAAAATGTAGTCTGCACTACAATAATTAAAACCACGTTTGATTCTTGGCAAATAATTTGACCTTAACCTTTGCTGAGCTGACTCTTCCTAAATTAAGTCCTGTGATGTAGTGTGTAAACAATAGCACTTGGTATAGCACATGATTGTATTTCACAACTTACCACCATGCCCTTACGTATCATGTCAGCCTAAATATTCGGCACGTAATGATGTCAGATGTATAAAGTAGATTGTTATGCTCATACATGCATTTCATCGTAAGTAAAAATATGTTATTGATGAAAATGATATACTAATGTTTTTTTTTCAGCTAATGGAGTAAAAATATACAAAAAAGGCAACAAGAAATAAAAATAAGACATGATCAAAATGAGACAGATGAATCAGTTCTTGATAAAATCACAACACATGAATTTCTGGAAGGATTTAAGTAATTTTCAGGAATTTATTTTTAAAATTTGGACCATTACACAGCACATGTGGCCTCTATCCTGAATAATGTCATTGTATCTTTAATGCCTACTATGAAGCTGAAAATGCGTATTTATTGTAATACACCCATGGTGTTACCCAGGTCAGCTGTGGGTCTCAAACCAGGAACAGAAAGTGCACTACCACTTGGTCATGTCACCGCACCATGCTATGTGACCATGTATGCTGGCCTTAAAAAGTGGTTTGCTATGATAGGCAACTCGACAATCTTTTGTGTGTTCTTGCGTGCGTGTTCATATGTGAGAACAGGATACTTGGGAGGTGCACGAAGCACAAGTTGAGGTGCATGTGGTATTACCAAGTGGAGAGACTTCACCTGTAGTCATCCCCAACACTTCCCCTACGCACAGCGTGCTGCAGGTTGGCATGAGGAGCCATCGCCACCACAGTTGTGGGAGTAGCCCTGTTTCCTCTGAAGTGTATGTATATTGAACTTATTTTGCACCATATGTTGCCATCTGTGCGGGAAGTGATATTAAGCACTGAACTGAGTCATGTCTGTTTCACATCCCATCCCCCATTCCCTCTTTTGTATCTCTACCCAATGTTCAATCCATATACCCATAAATCCCTTAACTTGTTCCTTACTGGTTTTTTTGCATTTCTAAATGGTAGCCCTTGTGTTTGTTATACCATGTAACCAATTCAGCTTAAAACATGTTAACTGTGGTAGGTATATTTCAACTAACTTTGTGTTCGCTTTTATATGTGTCGTGGTAGCGGAAAAAAAGTAGTTTTTGGAAATCCTTAACAGCACATAGCCACCCGTGAGAACTTCACTAAAAGACACCACATAACTATTTGTAGTGTCTATTAACAATTATATTATGAGAACAAGGTGCTTACTCAGCCATATATAGGAGTGCTTTGCTCCACATCTCATTATATCATTCCTTCAGAGTTGTAGGTAACTGACTTGAGTTTTAGCAAACTAGTCATGATTTAGTTATAACATTTATCACTGTCCACAATGTTTTTGGTCCTGGGTCAGTGCATATGGGGACTGCACTTGGCCTAACATTGGTGCCTGAAGCATTGTATGAACATCTGGACTGGAGAGACACCATACCTGATGTGCCTTGATTTCCTGAAGTGATTTCCAAGAGGACCTGCTTTTTCCTTCTTTGGTTCTTTCGGACCTGCTTTAGCAGCCTGTAAGGGACCACCAGGGTGTTTCTGCCTGTGTGAGTGTGCAGGCTGTTGGTGTAGCTGTAGGGATACCAGATGATCTGCTTCCCAATTTTGGTCTCTTTTTGGGACACGCGGAGGGGGAAAGGCAGCTAACATGTATGATGTCACACTTGCACACACATGCATATAAACTTGTATGCATGACACTGTTTAAAAAAAAATTACAATACAAAAAACACTGAAACTGCAGAAACACTGCCTCGTAACATTTTTGCAAAATGATTATGAAAACGGGGCCAATGCATGTACATTGCTGCTCATGTAGTCAATACTCATTGTATTTTCAATATTTATTTTTATTTGTGCTGCTTTAATGGAGGAGCTCTTGAATAATTTAAGGGGGTAGATTGGTTAAAGTTTGAATTATGGCTAGAACCTTGGCTCTGGTGTTGCATTAAAATAATGGATATTAGTGACAGCTACTTTTGGGTGGTCCTTTTTACTATGTATAACTGGCTTCAGATTAACCTTTGTCACTGTCTTGCAGCTGCTCCATGGCTTCAGATTAACCTTTGTCACTGTCTTGCAGCTGCTCCAGGCAGTATTATTTCTATGGGAGTCCTATGATGTCAGTGGTGGTCGTCCCCATTCCTCAATTGCAGTGCTATCCTTTACAGTGGTGCGGCGGCTGCAGGAGTTTGAGTTGCCTTTTGTATCCGTGATCAGCTCGCCCATCAAAGGATCCTGCCTGTTCCTTCGCACCAGGTGGGGTGGTGTCTCTCCTTGTCTTCTCATCTTGTGTTTCTATGGTTAGGTTAAATTCGTGACTATTTGCATACAACCTGTGTAATATTGAAATTTTAACGCGTTATGTCTATGTCATAGCCAACAAGCTGGTTAGACTGGTTTTTATTTTCCTATTCATGTAAGAGTAACCTATAACTGTTGATGTATGCCATGTGTGACGCAGCAGAGTATTTTGCACATTCCACACATTGCATTTCACAATGTGGTAGTTTCAAATACCATTCAGTATCACCCACCATCATGGAAAGGCCAGTATTTTGACAAATCAATAACCTGCGTCTTTAGTGTGTTCAACCCTGGCCAGACCTACCAAAAAATCCTGAAACATGGTTAAACAATCCTGATAAACTAAACCCTGACCAAGCTCACCTAATCAATCTAAACCTTGGATAAACCCTGCTAAGTGAGCTGTGTGCTGGTTATGTTAACTATGTGTGTGTGTGTATATATATAGCTACCTGGACAGGGAATTGGACAAGTTCGTGATGGCTGATGCTGTAGGGCTCAAGCTTCTTTACCAACAGGTGAACCTCATTAATATGATAGACTGAGTGACTATAATTTACAGAAAAAGAATTGTATTATAGATTTAAGCTGTTGGTGACAGTTGTGATGTGGACAACAATGTGTTGCATTGCTAGGCCGTAGCTGATATTAAACGAGGCTGGTGTGAAGTTGATGCTGCACAGAAACAGAAACTTGCCGAGTTGCACAAGCATGGCACATTCGAGGAGGTAAGACACGTCCATCCTTCATCTCTCATCCCTGCCCTATTCTATTTGATGGACTTAAAGCTTGACCGGCTTGTGACCGTTTCACCTTTCTCACTTGCAACGAGGTTGAGGCAATAGCTAAGCACAAAGGGTGCTGTGCCGTGCGTGTGCAGTTTTTGCGAGTGGCGCAGTCGCTTCCGCAGTACGGCTGTGTGCGCCTGGACAAGTGTGAGTGCGACTGGCCTGAACCAGACAGCCGGGCTGCGGTGCGTGCCGGTGGTGGAGTTCTGGCTTGCCGCTCCACTCGCCCCGGTGGCCAGGGGACCACAGAGGAGGGTACCTTCAGGGTGACGCGCATTCGCAGCTGGACCGTCACCAGCCGGGTGGGTGAGCACACGTGCATTCACTGAGTGTACATGCCCATTGGATTTGGGCATGGGCATATACATTCATGCACATGTATGCTCAGGTGCATGTGTTTACGCATGCAACTGAGAGTTTGTCTGCTGATTTATTTTATTAATATTCTCTACAACGACGCTAATGATTAATTTGAGCTTGTCTAAAGTAGGTGATGACTGTTGGCAAGTTTATCTGCTGCTCCAGTCTTCACGCAAACTTGACGTGAAGCATGCGGGATACATTGCAGCACTCTCGGTTTTGCATTGCAACTGATCTTGCTGCTATGAATGCTGTGGCACAGATCTTGGTAAGTGGTGAGGAAGGTGGTGGAACAGAGGGGGGCTCTGGCAGTGTTCTGGAACTGGCCTTCGAGTACCTGGTGCGACCCGATACACTCCGTTGGATCAAGCTACGCACGCAGCAGGTGACCCACACCTGGGTTGGGTGTCACATTGCATAATAGCCTGGTCTTCCTTCAGATCGCCTCTCCCACTGCAACCATATTCAGAAGTTTGGGTTTTGCAAATAATTACCATCAGCCAAGGAAACAAACAACGTAAGAAGTATTTCCTTTATGAGCATTAATAGTTTTTGCCTAATGAAAAACCTTTATGCAAGTACAGTACTGTGATAATATTGTTACTGTTGGTTATAGTCACAGGCCAACCATACTGGTGGTGCGATCCATATTTACCACATGTTTTATGTGTGTGTGGGATGTATGCGTGCGTGTATTTCAGGCCATTGCACTCAGCCTGTGCTTACAAACCATGGTGAATGAGATCCTGCAGCAGCGAGCCGGGCGAGACAAGGAGAAGATGAGTTCAGGAGCAGCATCGGACAGCACCCAGGTGACCCTGCTGCTGCCTGGTCTAGTGTCAAGTGGAGGATGGCTGGTTTAGATGTCTCGTGAAAGGTTCCTGGTATCGATGTCTAGTGGAGGGTATCGTGTTGTTGCAGATATCTGTGAATGGAGCCAAAGACCCAAAGGTTAATGGAGAGCACGCCCTCATCAGACCAGCTCCGGTGAGGCTCGTGTGTCTTGGTTTGTGCCGTCCAGCTGTGGGGAGCAGTAGCGTAGTGGTTAGTGCACCCCACTACAAACCCAGCGACGGAATTTCCAATCCTGCTCACAACCAATAACAGTGAGAAATATCTAAATTGGTCCTGGTCTTCCCCCTGGTTGACCCAGATAATGAGCTGATCTGGAGTGCAAACATCAGCACTGTGGAAACAGGCTGCCGGGCATGGTACTGACCGCCCACCCCCTCATGTGCCGTGTTGGCCTTCATAGATGCTATCTAACAGCACTTGCCCCAATGGTCAATTAAGGCTATAGGAGAGATCTTTGTCTTTGCCATTCAACTTATAAATAAAAGACATGCCTGCTAGTATGAACCGTATATGGATTTAATGGAAATATATTTTTATTGGAACAGGTAGAACTGTTGTATGTAAAGTTTAGCACATTTGTTTGAGCTCACAGTCCAATTAGTGGCAAGATCTGGCTACATTGGAGATTTTTTTAAATCTATTTTGTATGATATTGTGATTATAATGTCCATGAGAGTTATGCTGCCTCTAACACCTGACATACCCACACGATGTGGATGTATGTTGAATTTATTTCGCACCTTACATAGCCAACCATGCTAATCGGAGGTCCAGAAAGCATACTGTCAAAGAGCCCAAACATTGATTTTGGTGAAAGGATTACTGCAGGTGATTTTGCAAGAATTATAACCCAAGATCCAGCGAACGTCTTATGTTTTCATTCTATTTGGCTCCATGTGCCAATTACAGTCTGCCTCACAACTGCCATTATCATTTTGGCCTTGACGCTGCCGACTGATAAACATGTGGTACCAGGCTGGAGAACTACACAGATCATTGCTAGTGCAGTAAACTCAAGCCCATGTACACACCTCATTATTGCTTGAGAAGACAAATGACCTGTTATGTAAACTGTTCCTGATTTGCTGTTGAGGCAGACAGTAATGTTCTAAAAAATATGTGCTTGTGCATGTGCTGTTGATCAGAGCAAACATATGGACTCCTCCTTGGGACTTTCACTCAGGCTGCCGGGAATCAAGAAAGCTGACAACGTGCACAGCAATGACGCATTTGAGGGTATAGGGGAAGAGGACCTTTAGCCACGTGACCTAGCCTGTGATCTTCGGCGTGGGCCCTCTAGGGTAACAGATGCAAGCACTAAGCGCTGACTTCTCGTCAGCATTTACTTTGTTAAAATAATCATTGTTTTCATGTTTTTTTAATCCAAAAGCTGCCTTTACGCAAACGAGAACATATCTGTTGAACTCCTTGTTGTGCTGTGAGTTGTGGTCTTAAGAGGGGCTTCCTGAACGTGTGAAGAGCTTGAATTGCCCGTGGACAGAAAAAGACAATTTGAAGACTTGTGAGCACTTAGCAAATGCATTGTGTGCTCACTGTTAGAGAGGAAGTTACAACAGTAGGCAGTGTGACTTCCATTTGAGTTTAACACAAAGGAGTGTCCTGGACACATTTCTTGTGTAATTTTCACTACATTACAAGCATCTTCCATCATGCATGAATGTTGTGCTGAAATTTTGGAATTGATTGGAAACTTCCAGCAAATTGGAAGTGGTGCACTGTAATTGAACCTGTAGGCCTCTGAGCAGGCATTGATGTCTTAATGCCCATTAAAGCCTCGTGTTTTTGCAGAGTGGGATAGGTTGGGGATTTAGCGCAAATGCTCCCTAGATTCTTCCCTACAAGGTTTACACACGTTTCATTGACATTCCTCTTCTAGATCCTGTGCAAGTGCTCTTAACAGCAAAAATTGACACAGGTGAATGGATGAATGCCTGTGCCCACTGGTGCCTTAATCACACTGAGTAGTGCTAGCTCCAACTTAACTATTTTGATGTTGGTTATTAATGAAAGATGCATTTTGTAATAGAAATTCACCATTATAGCTATACCAAATAAAGCATTTCAATAGCATGTCGAGTGCTGTCTTGTATGCGTTGTTTGCGCTACTGATGGAGGACTCAAAAGTAGAATGATATACATAAAATGACGGGAATGGAATCGTTTACCCAAACAAGGATTCTTTTCAATGACAAGTTATCTGAAACATTTCATAGCGGGATGCTACATTTGCAGTAATGCCCAGACAGATATGTCACAGGGAGATGGGAAATATGATTGGAGACTGTCATTGAGTTTCATGGCTATTGCTTTTCTCGAGGACTCTGGAACCTCTTTCTCACAAACAGCATTTGGACGATTGAGAATTACTAGTTCTGACTTTTGTGCAGCTGTTTCAACAGGTGCTCTTTTTTGAGCCCGTTGTAACTTGGCTTTGTTGAACATCCATCTACTGGTTTGATATTTCCCTTAGTTCCTTATCAATGTGGATTCATGGGGAGCGGTGGCTCTGGTTAGCGAAATGTGCTACGTACCCAGCGACCCATGTTCGATTCCCACTCGGCCAACGCCTGTGACGATTATCTGAATCAGTCGTGGGCCTCCCCTAGGTTTACTCTGCCTCAAATAAGTACCTGGTGCTCTATGTATGTGTAATGTAGCTCTCAGAGACACCGTCTTGTTTGGTTATATGTATATTGTGAATCAAGTCCATCGACTTACTGATAACTTAACGAGTAACCGCGAGTGACTATATACACCTAGGTATCTTTTGTGACTCTCCATGACACTCCCTGTGTAGCTGACTGGCTACACAGGAGCGGACACGTAGTCGTCATGGAGACAGCATAACTCTAGCCTTCCAAGACTACAAGGTGCCCAAACCAACAGCAGCCCAGAGCCCTGTTCCACGCCGGCTTTTGTCCCCTTCACGACCCTGCCACGCCCCTTTTCCCGAACACTCCCTGCACCTGGCCCTGTCTGTCTCTGTCTCAATTACTATTTACGACCATGTCGATCTCGTGCTTATCCTCACGCGACCCTGTCAATGCCTGTCGCGTCAATCATTATTAACGACCACTTAGGTCCCATATTACCCTTACGTGACCCTGTCTGTTCCCATCACATCAATTAGTAACCACGGCCACGGGGAGTCGTACTGTCCTTACATATGTACATCTTTCACACTATATGTAGCCAACCGGGCTAATCAGAGGTGCTGTGTAAACATCGCCACTTGGTAGACAAATGCGGTCGGCGTGGTGCTTGCCATCCACTCTGTATACAGTGCCGGCCTTCGTAGATGCTAGCTAACAGCACTTGCCCCAAAAGTCCGTCATGGCTATATGAGGAATCTTTGTCTATACCACCACCATCTAATTTGGCTGGATCCAGGATGATGGGTAAAAGTATTGAATGCATTCTTTTTATCTGCACTTTCGGAAATTTGTGTGGTGACTTGCTTTTCTTTTTTGTCCTATTAACAAATGCAGCATTTGCTTTGGTCGTTCTTCCATTTAGATTAAAAGCAAGAATGGTCATTTTAAGAGGTTGAGATTAATCGTTCAAGGCCGAGTGTTTATCCTTTCACGACCTTTCACCTAAGCACTTGAATGTACAGTGAGGGAAAAAAGTATTTGATCCCCTGCTGATTTTGTACGTTTGCCCACTGACAAAGAAGTGATCAGTCTTTAATTTTAAAGGTAGGTTTATTTGAACAGTGAGAGACAGAATAACAACAAAATTCAGAAAAACGCATGTCAAAAATGTTATAAATTGATTTGCATTTTAGAGGGAAATAAGAATTTGACCCCTCTGCAAAACATGACTTAGTACTTGGTGTCAAAACCCTTGTTGGCAATCACAGAGGTCAGACGTTTCTTGTAGTTGGCCACCAGGTTTGCACACATCTCAGGAGGGATTTTGTTCCACTCCTCTTTGCAGATCTCCAAGTCATTAAGGTTTCGAGGCTGACGTTTGGCAACTCGAACCTTCAGCTTCCACAGAATTTCTATGGGATTAAGGTCTGGAGACTGGCTAGGCCACTCCAGGACCTTAATGTGCTTCTTCTTGAGCTACTCCTTTGTTGCCTTGGCCGTGTGCTTTGGGTCATTGTCATGCTGGAATACCCATCCACGACCCATTTTCAATGCCCTGGCTGAGGGAAGGAGGTTCTCACCCAAGATTTGACGGTACATGGCCCCGTCCATCGTCCCTTTGATGCGGTGAAGTTGTCCTGTCCCCTTAGCAGAAAAACACCCCCAAAGCATAATGTTTCCACCTCCATGTTTGACGGTGGGATGGTGTTCTTGGGGTCATAGGCAGCATTCCTCCTCCAAACAAACACGGCGCGTTGAGTTGATGCCAAAGAGCTCCATTTTGGTCTCATCTGACCACAACACTTTCACCCAGTTGTCCTCTGAATCATTCAGATGTTCATTGGAAAACTTCAGACGGGCATGTATATGTGCCTTCTTGAGCAGGGGGACCTTGCGGGCGCTGCAGGATTTCAGTCCTTCACGGTGTGTGTTACCAATTGTTTTCTTGGTGACAATGGTCCCAGCTGCCTTGAGATAATTGATAAGATCCTCCCATGTAGTTCTGAGCTGATTCCTCACCGTTCTCATGATCATTGCAAATCCATGAGGTGAGATCTTGCATGGAGCCCCAGGCCAAGGGAGATTGACAGTTCTTTTGTGTTTCTTCCATTTGCGAATAATTGCACCAACTGTTGTCACCTTCTCACCAAGCTGCTTGGCAATGGTCTTGTAGCCCATTCCAGCCTTGTGTAGGTCTACAATATTGTCCCTGCCATCCTTGGAGAGCTCTTTGGTCTTGGCCATGGTGGAGAGTTTGGAATTTGATTGATTGATTGCTTCTGTGGACAGGTGTCTTTTATACAGGTAACAAGCTGAGATTAGGAGCACTCCCTTTAAGAGTGTGTTCCTAATCTCAGCTCGTTACCTGTATAAAAGACACCTGGGAGCCAGAAATCTTTCTGATTGAGAGGGGGTCAAATACTTATTTCCCTCATTAAAATGCAAATCAATTTATAACATTTTTGACATGCGTTTTTCTGGATTTTTTTGTTGTCTCTCACTGTTCAAATAAACCTACCATTAAAATTTTAGACTTATCATTTCTTTGTCAGTGGGCAAACGTACGAAATCAGCAGGGGATCAAATATTTTTTTCCCTCACTGTATGTGTAGTGAGACCAATTGAGTCGCAGACGTTCTTCAGAGGCAACACATTTATTCACAACACGTATATATGAAAGGAGTAACTGCCCCTTTACTAGATACAGCCTAGGGTGGTGACCACCCAGCTAACTACACTACACACAGGAGTTACAGCTACGATGGACCGGACCCTCACTCGGGTGATGGCCACGTGTTGGTGCCTCTTCAGACGTAGGACGTGGAGCTTCCAGCTTGTAGAACGAAGCGACCCCAATCCCTCTCAGGGACCCACCTCATATCCTCCCGGGTCGAAGCCGGCTCCGCCCTCGGCCCCACCCACCTTCGCGAGCGTTCCAGCTCCCTCTCGATCCCTCTCAAGAGCTCTCCCCGGACATGTAATCACCCCCTAGCTCCCCCCACCTGGGTGCCTCTGTCGACACTCCGGATCATGTGCCTGCAGGGTCAACCAGAGTGCCATGGCCCGGGGCAATGCTGTCCCCGGGCTGACACTCTCCTGCTCCCCCCTGTGGGAGCCCGCACTGCATGCCATGTGTGGTGCCTACGCTATCCCAGCGCACACCAAGCCCCGCTAAGGCGGGTACTACACCCACCTACGGGGTGTACGCGATGACGGTGCATCGCACACCGTGCTCTGCTAGAGCCGGCCTTACTCAGCAACACACACGATGCTGTCCGCGACATAAATACATCGCACTCCACAGCCCTCCCGGGCCGGCACCCCACAGTGACATCCCCAATGTCACTACATATGGGATACAAATAGGTTTAGACCTAACCTGATCAATCGTTTATTCAGTGCAATTTAAGTCCATTGTGATCTGTACACCATTCGGATATTTAAATCCCCGTCATCCTTGGCTCTGCCTTTCTGTGCTGGCACATCCTGTCGATCCAGGTGCGGCTTACTATTATCAGGCTCGTGAGGTAGCATTTGGGACACAATTCTAACTTAATGTGGAATACAAATACATGAGCTGGCCCAGAACCCCATGCTGAATTGCACAGTGATGTCTCCAATGTGCCCTGGTAGTGCATTGCCATTCACTATTTTCACCTATTCTCATCACATTGTACTGAAGTGATGGATATAAATGTCGTGATAAGTTTGAAACAATTGTAAAACTTACAGTATGCTCATTAACATGGAAATGGACAATTAAATCCTCTAAACTGGACAACTTAGTCAATTATATAAAAAAATATATACTAGCGGGAAGTACCCAGCATTGCCCGGGTCAAAATAATATTTCAAACTTACTTTAAAAATCTAATAGCAGTGCATACTGACTGTGGTGGTACCTGCTATGATTACAGCAGTGCATACCGACTGTGGTGGTACCTGCTATCACTGCAGTCGTACATGCTGACTCTATCGCAGTATTTATCGACTTTATAGCACAAAGTACTCACCTGACAAAGTGGCGTGGTGAGGCCTAGTCCCGTGAAGAGCCTCCGGCCTCGCCTAGATTGTCCAGCCAGCCAAGGTGGAACCTTGGCAGGCTGGGGCTGGGCTGCTACCCCTAGCCCCCCCTACCCCCCTAGCCACAATCGCTCCGGCCGCTCGGGAGTAATATCTACGGCCTATAGTGGTAGCATCTAGCGACTGTATAGTAGTAATAACTGCATGCATCGTTGTGGGAGGACATCACACAGTGAAGAATTAACATCAGCGTTTAGAGTATTTTTTAAGCATTTTTAACGTGAAAGGATATGTCCCCCTTACTTCCACCGAAGGCGTGCTACTTGGCATGGGCCGTCCCCCCCACTAAAGGCGCGTGAGTTGGTATGGTCGTACACGCGTCATAAATAAATAAATAAATATGATTTTAGCACACAAAAATCGCACTAAATCGCTAATTAAACAAATTTAAAGTTGACGGATATGAAAAAGGAATAGCGCTTGCTCACCGCGGGGCTTACGGTTTGGTACCTGGCTTTTTTTACGTAAACCCCACCGCTGGAGAGGCAAATCGTTCGCAAGCACGCGAACAGACACAAACCCACAGACATTTTTTTACTTTTATATATAAAAATAATTAGTGCCCATCTTGAAAACTGGTTGCCAGCTTGGATTTTCAAGCGGCTCCATTTTTATTTCTCAAAAGATTCACCCTGTTGTGAATCTCTTGCAAGTTTCATGCATGCATGACAATTGTAACGATTCCTGTTAAATTATGCACTTGTTTGCTCCACTTTATGCATTGACCTCACTACAACAGTACTCGCTAAAATGCAATGCACCAGCAATATTTATTTCCTTTTAATAAAAATTTAGTTCATGGAAGGATTTCACGTTATATAGCGTAATCCATGTTAATTGTATCCCACGACGCTGACATTAATTATAAAGGGTGTCCAAAAATGAATCAACCAAAAAGTTTAATAGTTGTGTAATGACAGTGGAGCATGCATGCGGTGTGACTGGAAAAGTGGCCATGGGAGTTAATGACAGGGGTATCATTTGTGAGTGTGAAGGGACTGGTGGCTACGGGAATGATCGAGAAGGGAAGTGTGATCAGGTGACGGAAGAGGATGGTAGAGTCTGCCGGTGGAGCGAGCGTACAAAGTCAGCGAGAATGATCGAGAAGAGGGGGCGTGGCCTCGGTTGGTATATAAGGGAGATATGCTGGAAACTCGAGACTGTTTGGAGTGGGGTCTCCGCCTGATGTCAAGTGAACGTGTCTTCAATAAAGTGCCATCTCAAGAGAAGTGTGTGAAGTCGTCATTACAGTTGTATTGTTATTCGAGATATTGATAAGCATTTGATATGAATATATTAATTAGTTTTAGTTTGTTGTGAATATTGATTGCTACTTTATGTTTCAGGAGACATTCCATTTTCTGTTATAATGACAAGTCTGCCCGTTCACCCGACTTAACACTTAAATTTTTATCTCTGGGCTTTTTTTTAAAGGTAAAATCTTACACTAGGAATTAAAGAATGAAAAGCCCTGGTAGAATCATTAGAATCAAAATGTTTAATAACAATCATTAAAAAAACATTCAAAATGTATGATTCTCCATTCTCCCATGGAGAAGCAAAATGCTCCTTCATGGAATAAATAAAAGGTGACCTTAGTAAATTTAAACAATCAAATAAGCTAATCATGAAAATTAATCAAAATGAGTGTTGTTATAACAATTCTATATTTATATTCTTGGTTCTTTCGGTAAAGTCACGTAGAAGGGAAACAATAAAATAATAAAAATATAAAACAATAAAATTCCTGTTAAAAAAAAGAGACCTGATGGTTCAATGAGCCACTCTGTCTACAGGAAAGCTACCCATACGGATATTTACCTGAAACCGGATTCCCACCACCATCTATCCCAGAAGAATTCCCTCATCAAGACTCTGCACCATAGAGCCCAATGCATCTCCGACCAGGAACACATTGCCAGTGAACTCAAGCACGTACACCAAGCTCTTAAGCCTAATGGTTACTCCGACTACACAATCCGCAAAGCCATCACTCCAACCATGAAGAAGGACCCTCTTGAGGAGCTATTCAAAACCATCACCTTGCCCTACATTGCAGGGATCACAAAAAATATCTCCAAAATCTTGAATAAACACAAGATCCAGGTCCGATTCAACACATTACATAAAATTCGTGATCTGGTTCCGTCTGTAAAAGATGTGATTCCGGACATACAGTACCCTGGCATCTACAAACTGATTTGCCTCTGTTGTAGTAGTTACATTGGAGAAACCAAACGACATGTATCGGACCGTATCCGTGAACACAAAGCAGACCTAAAACACGGTAGGACCAACACCTCGGCCGTGGCAGATCACTGTTATAATTCAGTGGGCTCACATGACATTGACTTCACCAAGACAGAGGTCCTCTGCAAGCCATCTGGCTACCATGAGAGATTCGTTCATGAGGCTATCCACATATACAAACACAGAGACAATTTCAACCGAGAAGATGGATTATGGCTTAGCAATCATTGGAAGGATTTGATAAACCATTTCGGGTCTTAATTGATTGTGTTCACGCTTATGGTGACTTTCAGACCACATCCATTCTCTTCGTCTCCCCCCTCCTCTTTTCCGAACACAGATGGACTCGTCCATCTGAACAACTGCCAAACATCGCTGTCCGTGGTACTAACGTTAGAAAAAAACGCCACTTTTTTCAAATTTTCTTGCTGTGGTTTTCATACCTGTAATGATTGCTTGTGTTGCAGTCGAAATGCCGTGATAATTTTATTGTTTAATATTTTTATTATTTTATTGTTTCCCTTCTACGTGACTACCGAAAGAACCAAGAATATGAATCCCTGCAGTCACTAAATCTTTAAATCAAAATTCTAGATTTATTTAAAGTTGCGCATTTTGATGTGACGTCACATTTCTCAAACCCCCACCTCGTCACCCATCGTCACAAATGTTTGACCCCCCCACACCCCCAAGGTGCGTGACGTTATTTTATGGACGGCCCCTAACTGAATAAGACGGTGTCTCTATGAGTCTATGAGCTACATTACAAATAAATAGCTACTAGTATGTAACTATTAATATGCCAGTTTATAAACCTTATCAACTGTTATCTCTCTGGATTCTCGATTGTGCTGTAAAGAAGGTCGATTGCTGGAAAGATCGCCACATTTTCTCTTTGAAGGTCACGGTGTTATTAGCGAGTTTTATCGATGAGATATTTGATGTGGAAACCGATCCAGTTTGCTTGGACTAAATCAATGCTGCTTACATGATACGCTGCGGCCAGGAGGCCGTGTTATTATTTCAGTTTCATTTATTAGGTATAGCCCTGTGAGCCATGCGGCTCTTGACTCGGGTGCAACCGCAACAAACTAAAACATGAACAAGGAACATCTTTTGACGTGCAACAGGCAGACGCGATTTGGCGCGTAGTGACATCATCGGGAGGCATTGTGCCGCAGGAACGTGAATCGCTGGGGAATGATGACCGCATCGCCATGACTCAGCCGCACGCGGAGCACCATCGCGAAATGAGTCGACTGTTTGCGGTGACGTGATCGCGCTATTCGCCGGATGTGTGGCAACACCGCGAAGTCACGGTGCCTGACGTCACGATCTTGTTCGGCTGGTTTGTAGGCGCGCTATGATGTCATGTCGCGCTCGGGAGGGGCCGCGTGACGTCACGGGCCTGGCGCTGTCGTTAGGCGAGGCGCTCATCTTGGAGGCGACGTCGCCCCGAATGGCGGAGTCTGCGATGTTGTGAGGTTCTCACCTCGACCATCGCACCCACCCCGCCGGCGTGGCAATCGGTACGTGGTTGTAGCGACACCGCTCGCCAAGAGCGCGTTGAGGAGGCGGCGTTGGCGGAGGTGGGGGAGGAGAGGCAGGCCTTGTGAGGCTGCCAGCTTGGCTCGCCTAGGGAAGGGCCCGGGCTGAGGAACTCCCTCCCCTACGCACCCTCTCTAACCTTATACTGCTTTCCCTCACCATTATTCTTGCTCTCCCAGCCTTGACTCTCCCAACCATCACCTAGCCTCACCCTACCCTCACTCTCCCTACCTTACCCAACCATACTGACCCCCCTACCCTATCCAAACCATCCCTACTCTCCTCGCCCAACCATCATCCAACCACCCTCCCAACTGCTCTCGCAACCTCCGTAACCCTCCTCACCCTCTCCTTACCCTTCATTCCTCACCCCCCTACCCTCCCCACACTAGTACTTGCCCTTCTCACCCTCTGTACCATCCTCATTGCTCGCCCCTCTTTCCCTGGCGATCCAGTTTTCTTTGTCAGCACCCACGGCCCTCCTTGCCCTTCCGTTCTTGCGCTCCTTGATCTGCCCCCTCTATGCAACGGCGCCAGGTAAGGCAAGCGAATAAACAATATTACAGCGGCACGTCGTAGGTGTAATACGGCGTCTACACGCGCCTGTATCAAGACGCGATACAGAAACGGTCGTCTTTATAGTACAGAATTCGCCATATGCCTAGAAAACAAGGAAGTTTTTCAGTTCTAGATTTAGAATTTAGTTTTTCAGTTCTAGATTGATGAAGGCCGCTTGTGTTGTGGCCGAAACGTCGTGATGTTTGTTATTTTATTTTTTTTACCTACGTGACTTTACCCAATAGAACCAAAGAGTAAGTTTTTACTGGTAGGAACGAAGTTGTAAACTGAGTGTACCAGCCTGCAATAGATGAATGTGTCCGTCCCCTTTCAATACTTTAACGAAGTTAAATCTCGTGCTGTTGGGTGTAAAATCGGCAATAGACAGCGCAGAGACTTGATATGTCTTATTGCACCCAACATTTGGAAGTCACATTATCTCATTTGCGAACTTCGCTTTTGGGGATGTGGCAAATTCACACACAGCCCACAGCCGAATACCATTTGCGAGGCGAAGTTCGAAGGCACCGTGACGTTACTTTGCCAGTGTGCAGAACAAAATTCCAATGTTCCTACCAGCCCACCCTGCAGGGACCTGTTCAGTCTCGCCTTCAACGGATAGGGAGGTTAACTTTTGGGCTTGGACAGAAGCCTTCGTTGCTGAAGCGGACAGTGTGTGGAGGGGAGTAGAGCGAGAAGAGATGAGTTAAACGAGAGTGAGTGAAGGGCAGGGGAGAGATCGGAGTGTATGGCGAGGACTAGAGCGAGAGGAGAATGCGAGAAGGGTGGTATATAAGGTGAAGGGAGAAGTAGGAGAGTGCGGGTAGGGGGGTACAGCGAGATTAGAGGAGAGATGTAAGCAGGAGCGAGTCCGTGGATGATGTGAAGAGGGTGAATGGGATCTTAAAATTGATCCGATACTTGATTGGACGCCAGTGGAGTAATTGAAATCATTGTTGTATTGTTGGACCGTGGTCTCTTACAGGTGCGACGTAGCAGTGTTATTGTGGATTATCTGGAGTTTGTTGATGAGAGGTGTTCATGTCGCCGAAGAGGAGAGAGTTGCAGTAGTCGAATTGGGATGTAATTTAGGTATGGGTTAGAGTCGCAGCAGCAGCTACGGTAAAGAAACGGCAGATGCGGGAGATGTTGAGTCGATTGGGAGATGAAGTCCTGCAGGATTGAAATGTGAGAATAGAACTATAACCCGAATTCTTAGTATTTTTTTGCCACTTGGATGTAAGTGTTCCAAGAGGTGCATTTTCAAATTGGAGTATGCTGAGAGTTAACGTTTACAACTTTACATGATCACTTTTGTGTGGCCGACATTTATCTTGGGGACGTTAGAACCAGTCCAAGATAAGACGTTAGATGGGGCAGCGCGATTACTATATGATGAGTGGTGCTGTAGAGCTGATTGTTATCACAACTGGAGATTTTGCCAAAAGGGAGGAGATGTATTGTCAAGAAAGAGGAGAACCAGGAGATAAATGTACCAGATACCAGCGTAGTTTTGGAGATGGCCAAAGAGGATATGGCCTGTGGTGTCGAGCAGCACTAAGGTCTAATAACTCGGAGCGAGATTGATCCACAGTCTAAGAAATAATTTACCACGTAGTGTTGCAGACAAGCAGAAGTCTGGGATTCATAAGGATACTACATTACACCACGTTACACTGGGGACAATGTCGAACTCGAACAAGGATGGGCCGTCTCCGTGTGGGCCCGAGCCCAGGAATTAGCCCGAGCTAGCGCCTGTGTGCGGTACAGGAGCAGCACCCAATATTTACTGACATTTAGGCGACATGGCAAAGTTCAGAACCTAAACTTCCCTCTTAAATGTCGTCACACGAACAAAAACATGCAAGTCCAATAGCTGAACTATGGTGGACAGTGGTGGCACATGCCTGTAATCCATCATATAGAAGCGGGGGGGGTGGTAGATCGCACAAATGGGAAACACCATGTCTTGCCAAAAGAAGGTGGTAAATCAAATGCAGACTCCAACTGTTCCATCAGGATAAAATGTTGCCTCCTCACACACGTGGGGTTTCCCCCACATTACAACAATCATTATTTGGCTGAAAGCATCTTAATGTATAGAGGACCGCACAACTTGGGAAATTGTTGGTAGTACCAGCACATTGCCTGGCTACCTTCCAGGTTGTCAGTGATTCCATGTGCATCTGAGTCATTCTCTGTCTTCGAGAGTGAATGAATACTTTGCATGTTACAAGGTGAAATAATTATTACATAGACGGTGTTGGCACAGAGGTGCAGGTCTCTGAACCTTCATTGACCATGTATGAACGTGACATTGTCAGATGCAGTGCAACATTTGCCATCTTAGTGTCTTATGGAAAGTTGACAGTACTGCAGCACTACTGCAATCGGAGACGTACACATTTAATTGCCAAAGAGCAACACTTGAAGCAATGCCACGTATGCTAATGTCCCTTTTGGTATGTTTCTAGAAATAGTCTATGGTTTCTTGCCCTGCGTGGCCCTTTCTATACCCTTTGGTAGGTAGAGAGTTCAGTTGATGTGGGCCTATCATCCAAGCCAAAACTTGGCACGTGAGCATTGATAGAATGCACTGTTATGGGGTCACTTTAACAGAAGTGCAAGCTTTCGTGTATGATGTTTAATCCATGCGTTTCACAAGTGTGACATTTGTGTGGTTAACTTGTCACAATAAAGCACAGGCATGTATGGCATTCGTTTAGGCCCAGTCCAAAAAACATTAAACAGAATATTTTATTATTTTATTGTTTCCCTTCAACGTGACTTTACCGAAAGAACCAAGAATATGAATCACTGCAGTCACGAAAGCTTTAAATCAAAGAGCATCACACTTCAACTGTCCACTGATCCTTTGACATTAATGCCAGGCCAAATCCAAAAACTCAGATGTCTGTTGCTGTAAAAAGTAATGCTTGGTTATCTTCCTGCATGACAAGTGGACTGCTGTTTTCTTGTGTTTGCCTGTGGCCCACACTGAGCACGTGCTTTCAACCAGACCTTTTTGGTTTCACAATAATTCTTGCCAGGTACGCAATTATACCGGTCCGATAATAACGATTCGAGAAGGGTCAGTGACGTGGCCACTTGTTGCAGATGTTTGTGGTTTGATCTGGCAGGCCACTGGTGTATTAACGATAACATACCATGCGACGTCTGCTTCATAGTGGATGTAAAAAAAACACGTGGTGCTGGCCTCATGGTCCAAAATGCCAACTTTGTAAAATGACTTACAAATTACTGAACTGGCAAACCAAAACGGCAATTGTTGCCACCTACTGCAAACACTTTACACAACTTTCCTGAAAACAAGCGAAACAAAGTATTGAGTCATGTTGCTGCTCATGTCATGGCTTTTGGTAGGAATAATTGTGGTGTGAAGGGCATAGGCACCTTTCACGAGGATAATGCAAGAACCAGTGATATCAGGCGTAAGATCCAGTTTTGGTGTTTTATGCGATTGACATGTTGTGGAACACTCATCTAGAGCAGTGGAAAGTGTGGTCCCCAGGACCACCAGTAGCCTGCGATGGTCCTCCAGATGGTCTGCGGGCTGGTGCGAATGCAGGTTGATCCGGAAATAATGATAATGTTTATACTTCTAGATTTGAAGTTTTTGTGACTGCAATGATCCATACTCTTTGGTTCTTTCGGTAAAGTCACGTAGGTAAAAATTAAAAATAAAGTTAACCAAATCACGACGTTTCGGAGGCAACACAAGCTTTTGTCATCAGGTGTAACTAGCACAGCAAAATTACTGTAAAGAGAGCTATTTGTAATAAGATACTATTATATTGGGTAAGAGGAGGGGGGGGACAAGGAGGACAGATGCAGGGTGGGGGGTTGGGAGACGGGGATGGTAAAGCTCCGGATCCTGCTCCTGCACCACGAAAGGGGGGGCGGCGGCGCGGGGAGAGTGAGATGGGAGACAACTTTGCACGATTAAACATTGCAAGTCAAATATACTAGTGATGGTAGTGTGTAAGGCTAACATGGTTAATAACGTGTTTTCAATGATTGCTCAATTTGAATCCATCTCGGTTGAAGTTATGTCTATGTTTGTATATCTGTATAGCTTCATGTAAAAATCTTTGGTGGTATCCAGATGGCTTGCAGAGCACCTTGGTATCGGAGAAAACAATATCATGAGAACCCACCGCGTTGTAACAATGATCAGCCACGGCAGAATAATTCGTCCTACCGTGTTTCGAATCTGACTTGTGCTCGCAAATGTGGTCAGATACATGTCGTTTCGTTTCCCCAATGTAACAATCACCACAATTGTAACTCAGTTTATAGACACCAGGGTACTGTAAGTCAGGGATGACATCCTTTACGGATGGGATCAGATCACGGATTTTGTGTACTGCACTGAATCGGACCTGGATCTTGTGTGTTTGTTTAGGAATTTTGGAAATCTTTTTGGTAACGCCTGCTATGTATGGTAACGTGATGGTTTTGATAGGAGTCTCAAGAGGTTGTTTCTCCATGGTAGGAGAAACAGCTTTGCGGATAGTACGGTCCGAGTATCCATCTTAAGGGCCAGACGTACGTGTTTGAATTCACTGGCCAGGTGGTGTTTGTCAGAGATGCAGTGGACCCTATGGTGTAGTGTTTTGATGAGGGAATTCTTCTGTGCCGGATGGTGGTGGGAATTAGGCTTCAGATACGAGTCTTTGTGGGTGACCTGTAGACAGAATGTCCCAAATAGCCATTGGACCTCCTCTCAACAGAACATCCAAGAATGGTAGCTTGCCATCCTTCTCCACTTCCATAGTGAATTTGATGGATGGGTGTATGGAGTTAATGTGGTCGAGAAATTGGTTCAATGCCAGTAGGCCATGTGGCCAAATGACTAAAGTATCATCCACATATCTCTTCCACAGGGAGGGACGTAGGGTGGATGTTTGGATGGCGTCTATTTCAAATTTCTCCATGAAAACATTGGCTATCACTGGTGACAAGGGGGGACCCATGGGAGTACCCTAATTTTGTTTGTAGAAAGTACCATTCCAGGTGAAGTACATGTTGGTGAGGCAATGCCTAACCAGTGCAGGGACATCAGGGTTTATTCCATGTTGGACTAAGTCTTCAATTATTGCTCTTGTGTCAGGTACTGGTACCTTGGTGAATAGAGAGACCACATCAAAGCTGATGAGGACATCATCAAGGGACATTGAAATGTCCTTGATTAGAAAGACCAAATGAGTTGAATTAAGAACTGCTGAAGTGGCCTTGCCAGTAAAGGGAAGCAAAGTATCCGATAGGAAACGGGCTAGTTTGTAGGTAGGTGAGTTGATCGTTTTGGATATTAATTGATATTTTACTCATGTTTAATTTAAAAAAGAAGTTAAGTAAACTGCCCTAATCCTAACATCTAAATTTCCCCCTTAAAAAAATAACTTACAGCTGCGTAAAAAATGTATGTTCTGGTAATATGAATGATTTTGTATTCCTACATTTAGAGAATGCGTTTTGTCACCAGGGTGGGGACTGTGAGGTCTGCGGATATGTTTACATTGGCCAAGTGGTCTGCTGGCCAAAAAAGTTTGACAAATACTGATCTAGTGTTGTTTATTTTTGTGATAGGTATCCAAGCATATTTTAGATTTACTTTGACAAAGTTGCTCAACTAATTCCATGTCTGCATTAGGGGAGCATCATTGATGGCAGTGGAAGTTTTTTTTATAAAAAATGTTATCTGCCTTGCTAACATTTTGCATATTTTATGCACATTAACGATATTTATTATGAAAACAGGTGTTTATTTATAAGACACCCACATATATTATAAAATTAAGTATCATAATACCACACTAGTCTGATGTAAAGAAGTGGGTTGACATCACATCTCCGATAAAAGGACGAAGCATGCTACTACATCTTGTGATCTGAACCCTTGATCCTGTTGCGTTAATAACTGTGTGTGTGTGTGTGCCGTGTGATTCAATCCTATGTCTTGTACAGTGGTGATTCTTTTCCCACGATATGAGCCTGTATCGTCGGCAAAGGATGGGTTCCGAGCGTGACTCCCAGTCGGCCACGTCCTCAGTTAGCCTACCATCTATTGTGAAGCCACGCAAGCAGCGCCGCTTCTCCTTACGTGGCCTCTTCGGCCGCAAGCCAGGCCCCAAGCCACGACCTGCCGACCCGGCACCTGAGGGTGTCATCGCCAGCATCGAGAGCATCCATTCGGAGATGGTATCCGCCGACAAGATGTCCACCAGCTCCGGTGACGTGTTGTCAGATGCACCGCTGGCGTCGGGCAGCGGCGCTGGTGCCTTGCGGGTGAGCGGCTCGGATGCACTGGAGTGCCCACTGTGTCTGGTACGCCGTTCGGCCGAGCACTTTCCAGAGCTGCTCTCCTGCCCTCACCGCTCGTGCCTCGACTGCCTGCGACAGTATCTGCGCATCGAGATCTCCGAGTCGCGCGTCAATATCTGCTGCCCAGAATGTGCCGAGCGCCTAAACCCGCACGACATTCAGCGCATCCTAGCAGATGCCACACTCATGGGCAAGTACGAGGAGTTCATGCTGCGGCGATTCCTCGTTGCTGATCCGGACTGTCGGTGGTGCCCGGCACCAGACTGTGGGTAAGAACTGCAGGGGTTGCAAGTGAATTGGTGAGAGGGATTGTGTTAGAGGTGTAGTAGGTGAATAACCAGTGGATGGGTCAGTGTGCAAATGGTTGGCTGAGTGGGTGGTAGGGTGAGTAAATCGGCATGTTGGTGAGCAAGTGATTGGGTTAGTAAATGAGAGTGGATTGTTTGATGATTGAGTTCAGGACTGTTGGGTTTGTACCCTTATAGGCATCTGGCCTTGGATAACTCCCAGCTTTCACCTTCAGCATCTTTGTTCCATTTTTAAGCCATGATGCACTGGTCTATTTTTCAGTCCCATGGGAAAATGCAAACGTTCGAGTTCCTTGAAACGACCGATTTCTATCATCATGCACTCAATGTCTGGACTGAACAAGTATAATACAACATTTGTGGCTGGAATAATGTCTAAATGTAGAAAATAACCATACAACTATTAAAGAAAAGAAAATGTTATGATGCTGCGGTGGCTGTTTGCAATTAACAAAAAAAGTACTCTGAATTTGTGATAAGAAGGGTCGTTACTCAAAACGTCGCCTATTATATATTTTTTCTTTTTAAGGCCATGGTGTTATTGACGAATGTGAGGTTTATATTTTGAAAGAAATTGCACTTTGAGCTCATACAGTTAAGTACAGATTTTAAAGCTATTAGTTGCATACAAATCCTTTTGATGAGAGCTGTCTAAGTAAATGTGCTGACTTAAAATTCAATTGAAATTCATCTCCTGCAGTCGTCTTAATTCAAAAATCTAGGAGTGCATATTATCAGCATCAGATTCAAGTAAATTTGGGTTTTAGGTTAAAATGTCCGTCTATAATTAACATGGCCCAGCAGCAGCACATTCGCCACTTGTTGTAGAGGTTCGTAATTCTAATCCAGAAAATTGGCCTAGTTCATACTGTCGAGTACATTAACCATAACATACGATGCACCTGTCCTACCAGACAGTCTCGTCCCTTCACCTGATGAAGGCCGCTTGTGTTGTGGCCGAAACGTCGTGAGAATATTATTGTGTTATGTTATTTTATTTTATCAATTTATTATTTTATTCTCATTCTACGTGACTTTACCGAAAGAACCAAAGAAGATACGATGCACCGTCTGCTTCACAGTGGACATTAAAAATGCTGTGGCGTAATTCGAATAAGTGCAGGCCATTGTGACTGTATCATAGTCCAAATTTGCCAATTCGAAATATTTCTCAAATTACTTAATTGGAAAATATAGAAATCACCCCCTACGGCATGAACTTAGCAGTACCCTCCTACTGAGTCTGGATACTCAGCGATACTTTCTTAGGTAAACAAGTGTAATAACAGTGTTTGAGAATAAGAACTGTGAAGGGACCCACTTTTGATGACTGAAACGATACAGGAATGTATAAGTTCGTGAGGGACTACCAAAACCTTAGCGATATGGATAACATATGCTATAAGGTTAGCATTGTCACTGAAATGGCCACAAAAATGCAAGCGCGGTTGTGTTGTGCCTCTTCTAGGTTTGCGGTGATTGCTACAGGCTGTGCAAGCTGCCCAAAGCTAACTTGTGAGCGCGAGGGCTGTGGCACCGAGTTCTGCTATCACTGCAAAGCCATGTGGCACCCCAACCAGACATGTGATGCCGCACGCCAGCAGCGGTCTGCCACACTGCGCTTGCGCTCCATTCAGTCAGCCAGCGCAAGCTACAGCCAGGACGGCGCTCATGGTGAGACCTTTGCCAGAGCCGTCTTGCTCTGTGGGCCAGCAAACGCTCTGTCATTGCCTGGAGTTGTTTGGTGGTGCTTGTATTGTCAGAGCTGCCATGTCTTGCTTGTGCTAACCTGTGTGTGTGAATATTTGAGAGAGTGGTATTCCTGGTTTCCTCATGAATCCAGTGATATTTCTGATACTAAAACTCCTACCTAGCTGGTTGATGCTCAATATTATAAATATTTCAATTGGTACAAAAATGTGACTAAATGTCATGAAGTATACAAAATGCATATAATTATAAGTCAACATACATTTGTATGATGTGCGACGTGTGTCTGGGTTAATGTGTGCGTGGGACAACGTATGCATGTGGAGTAGTGTGTGATGTATGACTGGCTCCAGTTTAACAGCAGAGGTCTTACTCCGAATCAGTCGAGCGGCAATATCTTTTCATCGGTTGCGTAACGCTGTGTGGAAGCTACCTGGTCTGTCGCTCCGCACGAAGCTTCAGGTCTTCTCGGCCACAGTCATTCCCTCCCTTCTCTACGCTTGCGAAACGTGGACCCCCCAAATGGAGCATCTTCGCCAGTTGGAAACATTTAGGCTGGCCTGCCTATGATCCGTCCTGAGTTTAACCAGGCTGGATTGTGTGAGGAGCTCACAAATCCTTGAAAGATCTGGGCAAAGTCCCATCGGTGAGCTCCTCCAGCAGGCAAGGCTGCGTTGGCTGGGTCATGTAGCCCGCATGCCCAGCCACCGCATGCCTAAACAGCTTTTGTTCGGCCGGATAGTGGGGGCCAAACGGGCGCGGCACGGGCTAGAGAAGAGATGGACTGATGTGGTACAGGAGGACGTGGAGCTGAGTGGACTTGCCGATGACTGGTACCAGGGGTGTCAAAATCGGCCTCTGTGGAGGAGGCTCGTGAAGGACGCTACTGGGAAGTTGGAGGCAGTCGCCCTCCAACAACAACAGAGGGCGGAGGCGCGACGCTCACAACGAGCGGAGCGCCGGGTGGCTAAAGCAAAGCAAGTTGGTACAGTAGGGGGCACAGGTGGTGTATCAGCCAGTCGTCTCAGTTAGTCGACCTGTGGCACCTGGGTCTGCCCCGTGACCTGCCACGTGGCCTCAAGGTGCACATGGCCTGGCACAAGCGTTGTGGTGATGTCACCGCCACTTAGTAGCGAATGGCGGTTGTTGTTGATGTATGTGCATATAGAGCGGTGTGTTTGTATGTGCATGTAAAGTCGTGTGGGATGTGTGAGAAGCAGTCGTGTCACGGTTAGCATGCTGTGCTACAAGTCCGGCAACCCAGGTTCGATTCCCACTCACATCCAACACCAGTGACGATTATCTCAACCGGTCCTGGGCCTCTCCCTGGTCAATTCCGCCTGAAATGAATACCAAGTGCGGTGTGTTAACATCGCTACTAGGGAGACAAAGGCGGCCGGGAGTGGTGCTGCCCACACATCCCCTCGTGTGCCGTGATGGCCTTAATCGGTGCTTATGAACAGCACTTGTTCAATCAATGTTAAGGCTATATGAGGGATCTTTGTCTTTTAAGTGTGTGTACATGTGGCAGTGTGCTGTGTATGTAGGTTGGTGTGTGACGTGCATGTGAGGTGGTGTGCGCGTGGAGCAGTTTTTGACGTACACACGTGTGTGGTTGCAGCGGATGACATCAAACCATGCCCGCGTTGTGCCGCTTACATCATGAAGATGAACGACGGCAGCTGTAACCATATGACGTGTGCCGTGTGTGGGTGTGAGTTCTGCTGGCTCTGCATGAAGGAAATCTCTGATCTGCACTACCTCAGGTAAACAGTTGCGTTTACAACTCTTGAGTCTGAAATTCTCCCTACAAGTGATTGGCTTCCAACATCCATTAAGCCTGTGACTCTCCATAAATATATTGGCGTTTATTCAAATAGTGTTCTTGTGGTTAAACTGCCTCCTACCATAGGCATGTGCTTCCTTTGGAAGCACAATTAAAACCATTTAGCTATATTATAAAGTCATTTGTAATAATTGTGTTCCTGTTGTGCTATGTGGTTAAGAAACATGGTCATTAACAAAACGCATAGAACAAAACCGGATTGTGCACAACGAAGTGTGTAGATATGCAGTCTTCATATCACATTGGGAGATATTTACAGGTTATTGACATCAACCAGATTATTTAGAAAAGTAAGTTTGCATGGGCAAGACACTTCATAGCTAGAAGGGACATTGGATGATGGTCTAGAATAACGGAGCGCTAAATACGGAATGGAATGCGTCCAAGAGAACGTTGACTGAGGAGATGGAGCGATGAAATCGGTTAATGTGCAGGCTCTGGTGGGTTGTTGTAGCGCATGATTACGAAAGGTGGCGTCAGCTTTGGGGTGGCTTTCATTCCGCTGTGGATTGACCATAGCTGATGATAAAGCAATTTGTATATTTCTAGTATTTTACATATGTAGTGAGTTCAACTGAGTTGCAGATGTACTTCTTGGAGGCAACACATTTATTAAAACCAACACATGGGGTACTACCCCTTAACAAGATAACAACGTATGGTGGTGAACCACCAGGCTAACTGCACTAATTACACTGGAACTAGCTATGACGGACCGGACCCGAGCTTGGGTCCCGGTCCACGTGTTGGTGACTGTTGTAGGACGTATAATGTAGATTCTTCAGGATGAACAACAACAGCCAGTCCCTCTCCGGGACCCGGCTTATATCCTCTGTGGCGGTGCTGGCTCCGCCCTTAGCCACGACCACCTTCTCGAACCCTCGAGCAGGATCTCGACCCTGACACGTGACCACCCCTAGCCCCCACCTGGGCCCCCTGTGTAGACTTTACCAGTCACGTGTCCTCTAGGGTCAACCAGAGTGCCATGGCCTATAGTAACCCCATTCCCTTGGCTGGCACCCTGACACCACTTCCTGTAAGGGTCGGCACTGCACGCAGAGCGTTGTGCCATTTAGCATTGTCAGTCAGCGCTCACCCGAGCCCCTCTAGGGCCGGTACTGCACCCACACATACAGTGAGGGAAAAAAGTATTTGATCCCCTGCTGATTTTGTACGTTTGCCCACTGACAAAGAAATGATCAGTCTATAATTTTAATGGTAGGTTTATTTGAAAAGTGAGAGACAGAATAACAACAAAATCCAGAAAAACGCATGTCAAAAATGTTATAAATTGATTTGCATTTTAATGAGGGAAATAAGTATTTGACCCCTCTGCAAAACATGACTTAGTACTTGGTGGCAAAACCCTTGTTGGCAATCACAGAGGTCAGACGTTTCTTGTAGTTGGCCACCAGGTTTGCACACATCTCAGGAGGCATTTTGTCCCACTCCTTTTTTCAGACCAGATATTCTCCAAGTCATTAAGGTTTCGAGGCTGACGTTTGGCAACTCGAACCTTCAGCTCCCTCCGCAGATTTTCTATGGGATTAAGGTCTGGAGACTGGCTAGGCCACTCTAGGACCTTAATGTGCTTCTTCTTGAACCACTCCTTTGTTGCCTTGGCCATGTGCTTTGGGTCATTGTCATGCTGGAATACCCATCCACGACCCATTTTCAATGCCCTGGCTGAGGGGAAGTAGGCTTTCACCCAAGATTTGACGGTACATGGCCCCGTCCATCGTCCCTTTGATGCGGTGAAGTTGTCCTGTCCCCTTAACAGAAAAACGCCCCCAAAGCATAATGTTTCCACCTCCATGTTTGATGGTGGGGATGGTGTTCTTGGGGTCATAGGCAGCATTCCTCCTCCAAACACGGCGAGTTGAGTTGATGCCAAAGAGCTCCATTTTGGTCTCATCTGACCACAAAACTTTCACCCAGTTGTCTGAATCATTCAGATGTTCATTGGCAAACTTCAGACGGGCATGTATATGTGCTTTCTTGAGCAGGGAGACCTTGCGGGCGCTGCAGGATTTCAGTCCTTCACGGCGTAGTGTGTTACCAATTGTTTTCTTGGTGACTATGGTCCCAGCTGCCTTGAGATCATTGACAAGATCCTCCTGTGTAGTTCTGGGCTGATTCCTCACCGTTCTCATGATCATTGCAACTCCACAAGGTGAGATCTTGCATGGAGCCCCAGGCCGAGGGAGAGTGACAGTTCTTTTGTGTTTCTTCCATTTGCGAATAATCGCATCAACTGTTGTCACCTTCTCACCAAGCTGCTTGGCAATAGTCTTGTAGCCCATTCCAGCCTTGTGTAGGTCTACAATCTTGTCCCTGACATCCTTGGAGAGCTCTTTGGTCTTGGCCATGGTGGAGAGTCTGATTGATTGATTGCTTCTGTGGACAGGTGTCTTTTATACAGGTAACAAGCTGAGATTAGGAGCACTCCCTTGAAGAGTGTGCTCCTAATCTCAGATTGTTACCTGTATTAAAGACACCTGGGAGCCAGAAATCATTCTGATTGAAAGGGGGTCAAATACTTATTTCCCTCATTAAAATGCAAATCAATTTATAACATTTTTGACATGCGTTTTTCTGGATTTTGTTGTTATTCTGGCTCACTGTTCCAATAAACCTACCAATAAAATTATAGACTGATCATTTCTTTGTCAGTGGGCAAACGTACAAAATCAGCAGGGGATCAAATACTATTTTCCCTCACTGTATACGTGGTGCCCGCGATGTCAAGACACCGCACGCCGTGCCTCTCGAGCCGGCATTACACAGTGACATCCGCGATGTTAGTACACATATACAAGAGACCCTTGAATATTGCGGGGGTTACATTCTTGGAAAGTGCCGCCAAAACCGCAATGTTCATTACTTAATCCATAAGTAATAAGGTTAGGTACACAGCAACCAAAAATAGGCACATTACAATTTAAATAAGTACTGTTCTGTATGCCAAATAAACAAAAAAACTCAGTAATTATAATAAACATGTAAAAACCCTATACAAAAAAGATTCCTAGACAATAAACAGTATAAATAATTAATAAATAATGCACTTACCGGTGATGATGATCCAAAACAGGTGTTTGTTCGTTCTGTAGTTAGCGCGCTGCGAACCGGCTACCCAAGTTCAATTCCCTCTCACGCCCAACACCAGTGACGGTTATCTGAATCGGTCCTGGCCTCCCCAAGGTCGACTCACAACACAGTCCGTTAATAGGCTATATGGGGATTTTTGGTCTCTACAGTATACCCACGATTTGCCAAAACTAATCCCCGCGATAGCTAAATTGGTATACAAAGAGGTTGCCCGTGATAGGTCGAAACCGTGAACGATAAACCGCGAATGATAAACCTGCGATATTCAAAGGTCTCCCGTATATGTTAACAGTTACTGAGAGTTTTGACATGGATGCATTTCTGTGTCTGGTGGAGCATAGCCCCTCGGGCTGCACGTTTTGGGGAAAGAAGCCTTGGAGTCGCAAGAAAAAGATTCTGTGGCAGCTAGGCACCCTAGTGGGTGCCCCTGTTGGCATCGCCCTCATCGCGGGCGTTGCCGTGCCCGCCATGATAATCGGCATCCCTGTCTACGTTGGGAGGAAGGTGACCAACTCATTCATCCACCCACTCAGACAATTACCCACAAACTCGCCCACCCATTCTCTTTTGCGTACACCATCCACTCAATCCCCCACGCACCCACCACATGCTCATATTTACCCACACACTCAACCACCCTCGCCCTCAATCACCAAACTACTCACACACCTAATTATTTAATCACAATATCAAAGACAAACATCTCCCGTATATTCTAGATTTGAAGCTTTCGTGACTGCAATGATTCATACTTTGTTTTTTTTCCGGTAAAGTCGCGTAGGTAAAATTAAATCACGACGTTTCGGAGGCAACACAAGCTTCCGTCTTCAGGTGGAATAGTCACAGTAGAATGTGTCAAGTGCACAGCTCTGAGACGATCGGGTTTATATATAGGTTAAGGGGGGGGGAGGAGCCAGAAAGGCAAGTGGGTGGGTGGGAGGGCTGAGTTAAGCCGCCTTTTGTTAATCTGCAGGGGGTTCGGGGGGAGGGGGTAGTGGACTGCAGACAAATGCGATTAAAACCCTTTTGTTATGTTGCAGGGTAGTTGGGAAGGAGGCGATGGTGTGCGAGTACGCCCCATTTTAGAAAAAACATGCATCTAAAGTTTGGTATACCACCACTGAAAATTGCTGTACAATTAAAAGGCAGCTACCGTTTGACTTGATTTATAACCTTAACAGACTGTTGGGGCAAGTGCTATTAATGAGCACCTATGAAGGCCGGCACAGCACACAAGGGGGAGGTGACCAACACCACGCCTCGCCGCCTTTGTCTTCCGAGTGGTGATGCTTATACATCACACCAAGTACTCATTTGAGGCTGAGTCAACTTAGGGAGGGCCGGGACTGGTTCAGTTAATCGTCACTGGTGTTGGCCGTAAACGGGAATCGAACTCAGGTCGCCGGGTTCATAGCACAGCTCGCTTGCCGTTACACTATTGCTCCCCTCAATCACTATACCATTCACATACCCACGCACGAACTGACACCTACCCACACATCCACCCAACCACCCTTCCTCTTACCTACCCGTTCACTCACCATTCCGCCTTACTCGTAATAGTTAATTAGGACATGTACAAGGATAAATGTGTTATAGCAGAGGGTACGACATGATATGCATAATGCAGTGGAATAGGCAAATGATGGGAATTATGCACGTATTTCAAGATTCAAGTTATTCTCTGTGAATCCGTACAAGCAGATTCACCGGCGGCTCGAAGGCAAGAACGTCTCCAGACATCGTCGAAACCTGGCCATCACGGGTGGCGTGGCGCTGTCTGTCATCGTTTCGCCCGTCATAGCTGCTGTCACAGTTGGTACGTGCAACTCTCCTTTCCAATCAATGACAACCTTAACCCTTCTTTACATACTCTTTGGTTCTTTCGATAAAGTCACGTAGTTAGAAATAAAATACAATTTAAAAATCACGACGTTTCGATTGCAACACAAGCAATCATCATCAGGTGGGAAAATCACAGCAAGAAAAAAATGCTGCAATGGAAGAGAGCTGCCGTGGCAAGAAGTTATATAGGTGGGGGAGGAGAGGGGGGGGGGGCGCTGCATGAGCACTAGGGGGAGAGGACGTGAGGCGAGGGGGGGAAGTGGGCGGGGCTGGAAGTGGGAGGCCAGGAAAGCTGGAGATGGCCTTCTTGTTGACAGAAAATGAATATGTAATACTATATCTTACCTGTCCACTGCAATCCCAAACCCTTACATCTTAACCAATATCATAACATGTTCTAAACTAAAGTTTAATTCCAAAATAACACCACAGTGATTTACCATACAATCTAATCCCTTTAATGCTCTGGCCTTATTTATGTTTAGCCTTATTGTCGGCCAGGTGGCTCAGTGGCAGAGCAGCGGCTCACAATCAGAAGTTTGCGAGTTGATATCCTAGCAGGGGATTGACTCAGCCAATCATTCCTTTAGGGTCGAGAAAATAAATATACCACTTTGAAGAAGGCAAAAGTGGTTGTCTTGCGGAGAATCATCCCCAGCGTAGGAATTTACACCACTTATTCAACACTGGAAATGGGGGATGATCTTCACCTCGATGCTCAATTTGAGGAGAAAATCACTGACTTAACCGTAACCATATATTTCCGTGAACCCTCCGACCATAACCTGGACTTCTGGTGCGCATATATCTCTAACCTCTAGCCCCAGTCACTGATTGTATAACCGTGAGGCTCAGCTATACTCTTGCCCACTGAAGCCCCATGCTGACACTGGTGCCCGTCTGCGCTGTGCCAGGCATCGGGGTTCCCATCATGCTGGCGTACGTGTACGGGGTGGTGCCAGTGTCGCTGTGCCGCAGTGGGGGATGCGGCGTCTCCACCGGCAACGGTAGAGGCGTCCGCATCGAGTTTGACGATGACCACGACGTCAACATGGGGGGCACCAACACAGTAGGAGGTGAGGGGCACACATTGCGTACCCGTGAAGTGGAGCAACTCTATACCAAAGTGTGCATGTATCTGTAGTGTATGTGTCTTATGTATTGGAGCGGCAACGAATGGGTACCTGGAGAAACTGAAGTACCCTTGTGCGGGAATGGCAGACACCGCGTCGGTGGCTGAGGCACGGCACAGCGTGACGAACCCCAGCATCGGAGAGAGCAGTGTGGGTGGCCTGACAGCCAGCCTGAGCGCCAGTGGGAGTCACATGGAGCGTGCGGGTGTGATCCGTGACAACGTGAGCGAGACTGCCAGCACCATGGCCCTGGCAGGGACGTCCATTACAGGCAGCTGCTATAGCAGGTACGTGCTTACTGGCTTGCGAAATCGGATCTTAACGTTCCTTGGTAAATGACTAGACGACGCTGCGCTGGATGTAATGCATGGTAACGGTGGTGGTGTTGATGGTGGCGTGCAGGCTGGAGGTTCATGCCGACGTAGCCAAGGAGCGCTGCAGCTTGAGCGGCGAGTCGGCCACTGTGAGCCTGGCGGCTGCGAGCGACAACACCAGCACCCAAGCCAATGCCGGCTCCATTGTCAGCTCCTACTATGCTCGAGACAGGCAGGCAGCCTCACCCATGTGCACACATTGCGCTTGCCTTTGTTGCAAGGGTTCTTTCGCTTGTAACACATCGCTCTGCCCAGCAGGGATGGCACCAACATTGAGGTGCAGGTTGACATCGAGACTCGCCCAAGCAAGCCAAGGCACGGCAGTGGAAGCAGTGGCAACACGGAGGATGTGGGGCTCGCGGGGGCCCCCGCTAGAGGCCCTCCTGACACGAAGTACAAGGGAGGAAAGCGCATAAAAGAATGTGGCCTGAGCAAGAAGGGAAAGGCCAGCAGCAAGCGCAAGGCCAGCATGAAGATCAAGGTGGTGCCATTACACACGGTTTCACTTATTTTTCCCTGCTCTTATTCGCTACTAGGACAACGGTATTCACATCGTGGCAACTGTTGCTGCATTACCCTGCATTTGGGTTGGTCATCATGTACACGTTTGTGAGTGTGTATGCGCGTCAGCTGCGTAACACTGTGGAAGCTACCCGGTCTGTTACTACTGTTACGCCACACGATGCTCCGGGGCTTCTTGGCCACAGTCATGCCCTCCAGATGGAACATCTGCGCTGGTTTGAAATATTCAGCTTCGGAGTGCACCTGGCCTGGCAGAAGTGCCGTGGTGACGTCACCGCCACTTAGTGGCGAATGGCGATTGTTATTGTTGTTGCGTGCGTTGATGATCACACATGTGTATTGTTGTACTTGTGTCCTTGGTTCCCAGGAGGTTCGTGAAGATATGGATACGCAGCTGCTGGAACGAGGCAGCGTGCACTCCAGCGAGCTGGACTCCCCGTCCCTCAGTGACTCCATGCCATCGGTTGCCGACTCGCACTCCAGCCACTTTTCAGAGTTCTCTGATCGCGAGAGCACGAAGACTACCGGCAGCAGTCACATTAACAGCGCTGAGACGCACGCCACGCCACGTTATATGGCGCCAGCTCCCACCAATAGCCAGCCACTTACGCAGGTGGAGAGCGACCGTCTGGAGGGTTGCCCTTCCGTCGGAGCCCAGATGGGTGCTGTGTATGGCCAGCCGGGGCCCTCACCCACTGTAATGGGGCCCTGTGCCACAAGCACGGTGAGTGGGCCGTCCAGCCCCTCTCTCACTCTGGCAACCCCATCAATTCCACTGGGGCCACCTAAAGAATCAGTGGCACAGCTAAACAGCCCTCATGGCCTCACTGCAGCACCTGTCTGCAGTGACCCGGGGCCAGCAGCCTCCCAAGCCCCAGCCGGGGCCATCTCGCGTGACCCCCCAGCAGGGCCGAGTCCCCGGCTGGCGGCGGTGACGCACGGAGCGAACGAGACCAAACGCACGGTCATCCACACTGACATATGAAGCGCCCATGGCCTGGGTCACCCATTGTCCGGCCTATTTACATAATAGCTTGTTTGCTCGCTGGCTGACCTGACAACCATTTAAAATCTGTTAAGATGGGCCTGATGCTTTATTTTGGCTACCAGCAGCACCAGCGTGCTCTTAGTGGCACAAACTGTTGCACTGATTTGTGCTTTATGGCAAGTTATGATAAATAAGGATCTGAATTATTAAACAGGTATAACACGTTTCGGTTTTCTTTCTCATGTTATCCCGTACAAGACACAAGTTGCAAATGAAGACTCGTGAGCAAACAAAATAATTTAGCAAAGGCTGGAGTTGAACTGCCCAGAGAAAATCGTCAATTCGGAATGGCATAGTAAGAGTGCAAGGGTCACGTGAGGCTGGTAAAGAAATAGCGTGAGGTGGGAAGGACAGTACCTTGTGCGTTTGGACAGTAAATTTTAGTGGATATGGAGGGGATGTCAGCCAGGGTAATTGCACTGTTCCTTATGTCAATTTTCTTTGCCCTTTAGGATATTATGAAGACAGCCACGTTAGGGTTGCTGAGAAAAAAAGTCACTGCTGCTTAAAATTTATTTCAAACTATTGACATGGATGTAGCCACGGTTAGACCAGGGATACAAGGCAGACATCAGGCTTGGTGAGGTAGAAACACAACCTTGCAATCGCTGTTGGCCTTTAGCACCAACGGGAAAGCCTCACTGACAAGAGACTTGCAAATCTCTAGGCGCCGAAGCTTTTACTCCATATGCCATGCGGCAGCCAGATAAGTTGCGTGTGTTTGTGCAGAATTGTAATATATTTAAAGGGAAACTGCATGTATGGGCAGGCCTTGTATTGCGTCTAATTTCTGAGCCGTGTTGAGGTCATTGTCCGAGGTAAGGGACCAAGGGGTTCACACTCAAATGGGGCGGATGGTCCCATGGTGCAGGTTACACTTGTACAGTTGCGAACTTGATGCATCGGCCATCTTAGCCTTAACTTTTTGTTTCTCATGCTACCCTGTCCGCACCGTTTAGTTTCCATTCCTAAAATATGTGCAATATTTGAAATGTTAGTTAACATGGCGTCGCTTGTTTATAAACAGTCTTACTTTAGACAACTGATCTTTTTTTTTTTACAACTGACGGTGTTTGACAGAAACCGTGCTGTTGTATATGTGCTGGCGCGCTGGACGCGTGCTATGTCCATGTGCGTCCGTCCTCTCACCACCAGTTCCTGTGTGCGACCTCCTCTCCTGCAGTATCTGGCTCTCACTGTCAGGAAGGACGACTCCCAGATTGGGTCTTCAGAAAACAGATTCCATCCAGAACTGGGAGGGCTCGGGTGCCAGAGTACATCATGGCATGTGTGTAAGTGATTGGGAGCGGTCCAGATAGTGCTCTAAAGCAGTTCCCACATGTGCAGGTCGTATCTGGTTGGGACCTTTCTCTGGCTCGTTGACTGCTGGTTGTACACTTGGTTTATTCTGATTGCTTAAAAACTTTTGTTCAACAGAAGCATTTAATAAATACGATTTTAAAAATCCCTGCCACCGCGTTGTCTTTTGTGACGTCCACGTCTATCCAAAGTGGCACGGAAGTAATGCCTGCCTGAGCCTCCGCTGTGGCCACATTTCATCTTTTGCACTGCCTGCCTCCCTCTTCACACAAGCACCTGAATGAGACCGCCTCAGCTCCTCCCCATCATGTTTAACAATGGTGTTCTTTTCTATGCTTGCTTGAAACAACATCATCTGACCTATTTTGGAATGGCTATACAATGTTACTATTATGGCAAAGGAACATCGAATAAGCTTAGGTTTTGATTTAAAGCTTTCGTGACTGCAGAGATTCATATTCTTGGTTCTTTTGGTAAAGTCATGTAGAAGGGAAACAATAAAATCATAAAAATATAAAAATAAAATTATCACGACGTTTCGACTGCAACACAAGCAATCATCAGGTGTGAAAACCACAACAAGAAATTTTGAAAAAAGTGGCGGGTTTTTTTAATGTTAGCACCACGGATAGCGATTTGACATACTCTGGTTCTATTCGGTAAAGTCACGTAGGTAAAAAAATAAAACAACAAAAATCACGACGTTTCGGCCACAACACAAGCGGCCTTCATCAGGTGAAGGGACCAGCCTGTCTCGAAGACTGCGCTGGAGTGAAACAGAGCCAAGCTCAGACTGCAACGTTTAAGCTGTGTGAGAGGGATTAAGGTGCCTTGACAAAGGAATTAGTGTAAATATTAGCATTTGATTGGCGGACTTAGCATGATGAAAGGTGTAGCACACGGCAGTGCACCTTTAAGCTGTGAGAGGGATTAAGGTGCCTTGACAAAGGAATTAGCGTAAAAATTTGCATTTGATTGGCAGACATCATGATGAAAGGTGTAGCACAGTGATCGGCACCGGCAGTGCACCAGCCTGTGCTGCGGAAGTTTGGGGTACCACTACTTGAAAAAATATACTGTACCAATGAAAATTAGTTTAATGTTTAGTTCGATTTAGAACGTCTTTCCAATGGTTGCTTAATTTGAAACCATCTCGGTTGAAATTATGTCTGTGTTTGTAGATATGAATTGCCTCGTGAACAAAACTCATACAACAATAAAAATTCAGGACCTCAATGATGGTAGTTACTCAAAAATTAAAATGACCCTACTAATAGCCTAACTATGAAAACCAACAAGATCATCACAAGTTCGACCTCCCTAAGTGAACCAACTAAACGTCCCTCCCTAAAACCTTTGCTGCAAAACCCCCTAGATTCTATGGTCTTCCAAAGATTAATAAAGAAGGCACTCCACTACGACCCATTGTATCCACGATCAACTCCCCTACCTATAAGCTAGCACGTTTTCTGTCGAATACCTTGCTACCTTTCACTGGCAAGACCTCCTCAGCAGTACTTAACTCAGCCCAATTGGTTTCTATGGTCAAAGACGTACTGTTTTCTGACGATATCCTTGTCAGCTTCGATGTGGTCTCCTTGTTCACCAAGGTCCCGGTACCTGATATAATTGAAAATTTGGTCCAACATGGACTAAACCCCGAGGTACCTACGCTGGTCAGGCACTGCCTCACCAACACTTACTTCACTTGGAATGGTTCCTTCTACAAGCAAAATTAGGGTACTCCCATGGGTTCCCCCTTGTCACCAGTGATAGCCAATGTTTTCATGGAGAAATTTGAATCGGACGTCATCCAGACTTCCACCCTCAGACCTGCCCTGTGGAAGAGATATGTGGATGACACTTTCGTCATTTGGCCACATGGCCTCCCAGCTCTGAACCTTTTCCTACACCACATCAATTCCAGACATCCCGCCATCAAATTCACCATGGAAGTGGAGAAAAATGGCAAGCTACCATTCTTGGATGTTCTGTTTGAGAGGAGACCTGATGGCTCATTGGGGCATTCTGTCTACAGGAAACCCACCCACACAGATTCCTACTTGAAGCCTGATTCCCACCACCACCCAGCCCAAATGAATTATCTCATCAAAACTTTATACCATAGGGCTCATTGCATTTCGGACCAACACCACCTGACCAGTGAATTAAAACACGTACACCTGGCCCTCAAAAGGAATGGATACTCTGACCGTACCATCCGCCAAGCTGTTTCTCCCTCCATACAGAAACAACCACTTGATACTCCGGTCAAAACCATCACATTACCATATATAGCAGGCGTTACTAAAAAGATTTCCAAAATTCTAAACAAACACAAGATCCAGGTCCGGTTCAATACAGTACATACAATTCGTGATCTGATCCCATCCGTGAAGGATGTCATTCCTGACTTACAGTACCCCGGGGTTTACAAATTGAGTTGTACCTGCGGTGATTGCTATATCGGGGAGACGAAGCAACATGTCTCTGACCGAATTCGCGAGCACAAATCAGATTTGAAACACGGCAGAACGAATTCTGCCATGGCTGATCACTGTTACAACGCTGTGGGTGATCATGATATAATTTTCTCCGATCCCAAGGTTCTTTGCAAACCCACAGATTTTTATCAGAGATTTGTTCACGAGGCAATTCAGATCTACAAACACAGACACAATTTCAACCGAGAAGATGGTTTCAAATTAAGCAACCATTGGAAAGATATTCTTAGTTTTTTCGGTAAAGTCACGTTATATATATTTTGTTATTTTGTTGTTTCTCTTCAACGTGACTTTACCGAAAAAACTAAGAATATGAATTACTGCAGTCACGAAAGCTTTAAATCAAAACATTGGAAAGATGTTCTAAATCGAACTAAACATTAAACTAATTTTCATTGGTACAGTATATTTTTTCAAGTAGTGGTACCCCAAACTTTCGCAGCACAGGCTGGTGCACTGCCGGTGCCAATCACTGTGCTACACCTTTCATCATGATAAGTCCGCCAATCAAATGCTATTTTTTTTATGCAATTCCTTTGTCGAGGCACCTTAATCCCTCTCACACAGCTTAAAGGTGCACTGCCGCGGGCTACACCTTTCATCATGCTAAGTCCGCCAATCAAATGCTAATTTTTTATGCTAATTCCTTTGTCGAGGCACCTTAATCCCTCTCACACAGCTTAAAGGTTGCAGTCTGAGCTTGGCTCTGTTTCACTCCAGCGCAGTCTTCGAGACAGGCTGGTCCCTTCACCTGATGAAGGCCGCTTGTGTTGTGGCTGAAGCGTCGTGATTTTTGTTGTTTTATTTTTTTTACCTACGTGACTTTACCGAATAGAACCAAAGAGTATAGATCCTTGCAGTCACTAAAGCTTCAAATCTAGAGAAGCGATTTGACAGTTTGTTCAGATGGACGAGTCCATCTATGTTCGAAAAAGAGGAGGGGGGAGACGAAAAATAATGGATGCGGTCTGAAAGCCACCTTAAGCGTGATCAGTCAATTAAGACCCGAAATGGCCAGAATACATCTTCTCGGTTGAAATTGTCTCTGTGTTTGTATATGTAGATAGCCTCATGAAAGAATCTCTCATGGTAGCCAGATGGAAGTCGAAAAAGGTGGCAAGCTACCTTTTTTGGATGTCCTAATAAAAAAGAGACCTGATGGTTCAATGAGCCACTCTGTCTACAGGAAAGCTACCCATATGGATGCTTACCTGAAACCGGATTCCCACCACCATCCACCCCAGAAGAATTCCCTCATCAAGACTCTGCACCATAGAGCCCAATGCTATCCAACCAGGAACACATAGCCAGTGAACTCAAGCACGTACACCAAGCTCTTAAGGCTAATGGTTATTCCAACTACACAATCCGCAAAGCTATCACTCCAACCATGAAGAAGGACCCTCTTGAGGAGCCTTTCAAAACCATCACTTTACCCTACATTGCGGGGATCACAAAAAAGATCTCAAAAATCTTGAATAAACACAAGATCCAGGTCCGATTCAACACATTACATAAAATCCGTGATCTGGTTCCTTCTGTAAAATGTGATTCCAGACATACAGTACCCTGGCGTCTACAAACTAAGTTGCCTCTGTGATAGTAGTTACATTGGAGAAACCAAACAACATGTCTCGGACCGCATTCGTGAACACAAAGCAGACCTGAAACACGGTAGGACCAACACCTCGGCCATAGCAGATCAATGTTATAATTCAGTAGGTTCACATGATATCGACTTCTCCAAGACAGAGGTTCTTTGCAAGCCATCTGGCTACCATGAGAGATTCGTTCATGAGGCTATCCACATATACAAACACAGAGACAATTTCAACCGAGAAGATGGATTCTTCTTCTTTGGTTCTTTCGGTAAAGTCACGTAGAATGAGAATAAAATAATAAATTGATAAAATAAAATAACACAATAATATTCTCACGACGTTTCGGCCACAACACAAGCGGCCTTCATCAGGTGAAGGGAGCGAGACTGTCTGGTAGGACAGCGCTGGAGTGAGAGAGCCACGTTCAGATCACGGCTTTTAAGCTGTGTGAGAGGAACAAAGAGCCTTAGAGTCGCGGCATCTCTTCAGAAAGGTGAGAGACTCGATTAGTTGAGCCTTCTTATCCCGAAGTCTGTTGAATGATCTTAAGGATGTGTGGAATCCCTCCCCGTAGAGGCGGTTAAATTTCGATTTAAAGCTTTCGTGACTGCAATGATTCATCTTCTTTGGTTCTTTCGGTAAAGTCACGTAGAATGAGAATAAAATAATAAATTGATAAAATAAAATAACACAATAATATTCTCACGACGTTTCGGCCACAACACAAGCGGCCTTCATCAGGTGAAGGGAGCGAGACTGTCTGGTAGGACAGCGCTGGAGTGAGAGAGCCACGTTCAGATCACGGCTTTTAAGCTGTGTGAGAGGAACAAAGAGCCTTAGAGTCGCGGCATCTCTTCAGAAAGGTGAGAGACTCGATTAGTTGAGCCTTCTTATCCCGAAGTCTGTTGAATGATCTTAAGGATGTGTGGAATCCCTCCCCGTAGAGGCGGTTAAATTTCGATTTAAAGCTTTCGTGACTGCAATGATTCATCTTCTTTGGTTCTTTCGGTAAAGTCACGTAGAATGAGAATAAAATAATAAATTGATAAAATAAAATAACACAATAATATTCTCACGACGTTTCGGCCACAACACAAGCGGCCTTCATCAGGTGAAGGGAGCGAGACTGTCTGGTAGGACAGCGCTGGAGTGAGAGAGCCACGTTCAGATCACGGCTTTTAAGCTGTGTGAGAGGAACAAAGAGCCTTAGAGTCGCGGCATCTCTTCAGAAAGGTGAGAGACTCGATTAGTTGAGCCTTCTTCGGTACCGAAAGAACCAAAGAAGATGAATCATTGCAGTCACGAAAGCTTTAAATCGAAATTTAACCGCCTCTACGGGGAGGGATTCCACACATCCTTAAGATCATTCAACAGACTTCGGGATAAGAAGGCTCAACTAATCGAGTCTCTCACCTTTCTGAAGAGATGCCGCGACTCTAAGGCTCTTTGTTCCTCTCACACAGCTTAAAAGCCGTGATCTGAACGTGGCTCTCTCACTCCAGCGCTGTCCTACCAGACAGTCTCGCTCCCTTCACCTGATGAAGGCCACTTGTGTTGTGGCCGAAACGTCGTGAGAATATTATTGTGTTATTTTATTTTATCAATTTATTATTTTATTCTCATTCTACGTGACTTTACCGAAAGAACCAAAGAAGATGAATCATTGCAGTCACGAAAGCTTTAAATCGAAATTTAACCGCCTCTACGGGGAGGGATTCCACACATCCTTAAGATCATTCAACAGACTTCGGGATAAGAAGGCTCAACTAATCGAGTCTCTCACCTTTCTGAAGAGATGCCGCGACTCTAAGGCTCTTTGTTCCTCTCACACAGCTTAAAAGCCGTGATCTGAACGTGGCTCTCTCACTCCAGCGCTGTCCTACCAGACAGTCTCGCTCCCTTCACCTGATGAAGGCCGCTTGTGTTGTGGCCGAAACGTCGTGAGAATATTATTGTGTTATTTTATTTTATCAATTTATTATTTTATTCTCATTCTACGTGACTTTACCGAAAGAACCAAAGAAGATTAATCATTGCAGTCACGAAAGCTTTAAATCGAAATTTAACCGCCTCTACGGGGAGGGATTCCACACATCCTTAAGATCATTCAACAGACTTCGGGATAAGAAGGCTCAACTAATCGAGTCTCTCACCTTTCTGAAGAGATGCCGCGACTCTAAGGCTCTTTGTTCCTCTCACACAGCTTAAAAGCCGTGATCTGAACGTGGCTCTCTCACTCCAGCGCTGTCCTACCAGACAGTCTCGCTCTCTTCACCTGATGAAGGCCGCTTGTGTTGTGGCCGAAACGTCGTGAGAATATTATTGTGTTATTTTATTTTATCAATTTATTATTTTATTCTCATTCTACGTGACTTTACCGAAAGAACCAAAGAAGATGAATCATTGCAGTCACGAAAGCTTTAAATCGAAATTTAACCGCCTCTACGGGGAGGGATTCCACACATCCTTAAGATCATTCAACAGACTTCGGGATAAGAAGGCTCAACTAATCGAGTCTCTCACCTTTCTGAAGAGATGCCGCGACTCTAAGGCTCTTTGTTCCTCTCACACAGCTTAAAAGCCGTGATCTGAACGTGGCTCTATCACTCCAGCGCTGTCCTACCAGACAGTCTCGCTCCCTTCACCTGATGAAGGCCGCTTGTGTTGTGGCCGAAACGTTGTGAGAATATTATTGTGTTATTTTATTTTATCAATTTATTATTTTATTCTCATTCTACATGACTTTACCGAAAGAACCAAAGAAGATGAATCATTGCAGTCACGAAAGCTTTAAATCGAAATTTAAGATGGATTCTGCCTTAGCAATTATTGGAAGGATTTGATAAACCATTTCGGGTCTTGATTGATCACGCTTAAGGTGGCTTTCAGACCGCATCCATTATTTTTCGTCTCCCTTCCGAACATAGATGGACTCGTCCATCTGAATAAACTGTCAAATCGCTATCCGTGGTGCTAACGTTAAAAAACCGCCACTTTTTTCAAATGTTCTTGTTGTAGTTTTCACACCTGATGATGATTGCTTGTGTTGCAGTCGAAACGTCATGAGAATTTTGTTTTATATTTTTATTATTTTATTGTTTCCCTACTACGTAACTTTACCGAAAGAACTAAGAATAAGCTTAGGTTTCTTTGCCCAAGCCTTGAACAATGTTTTGATAGACAAAGTGCACATTCATCCGAAGTTGTAATGCAGTGATACTCTGATTTACGTCTCCCCTTTTTACGTCATTAATACCGCTACCTGATTTGCGTTGCCTCAACTCGCATGCCGCTAACAGCATCCGTCCTTTTTCGTATCCGTCACCTCAGCATGCACGTCTACCTACCCTGGAAATTGCTTTCATTTACGTTTGAATATTCGTTGCACATTTCAGAACGCGTGCCCAATGTAAACCGGGGTGCCACTATCATTACTGTATTTCTGTCTTTTCGAGGGTGGAGCACCCAATTCCTACCAAAAACTCTACACTTTTGTCAATAACACTGCCTTAAAATGAATAATAGGCAACGGCCCTTCATAACTGGCCAGAGAGTGGATTGTACGATTTGTAGACGACACCTTGGGACCTGAAGAGAAAAGATTTTCGAATGTTTCCTGATGAACAGTTTTAAAATTGGCACGTAGTTTGTAGTTATTAACAGACACTTCAATAATTAATGTTTTAAATTAACAATTTTTTATTAAAAGTAAAATTATAAAATGTTGCTGGCACATTGCACTATGGGTGAGCTGTTGTGAGGTCAATGGTATCATGACCGTAATCCACTTACGATGCATCTTGAGCCCAACTGTAAACTCATTTGGGTTAGATAAGCTCTCAAGAGGGGACTTGCAAATGTCCCTGAACCTATAAAACATATTCTTGGTTCTTTCGGTAAAGTCACGTAGAAGGTAAACAATAAAATATATAAAAAATACATAAAACATGTTTATGATACAATTTGAAAAGTAGTTTTATTTGAGTGATTTGTTTTAGCCCTTGCCATTCAATTCTACAGCGTAGCCAGATGTGTCATGTAAACTAATGTGAATTCCAAATATGAAAATGGTATTGCCCTCTTGGGGTCGGCAGGCAGGATGTGGTGGTGTAGGTACAGATTGGAATGAGCTCTTCACATGGGCTTACGGCGGGGACAAGTTTATCCATGTTTTATTGTTTTTTATTATTATTTTATTATTTCCCTTCTACATGACTACCGAAAGAACCAAGAAGATGACTACAGTACAGTTATGTTGACTTCCCCACAAAGTGCTAATTATTTATCACCCCTAATGGGCTGAGTCCACCACCCAACCAGGATTTGGACTCACCGCTGAGCAATCTGACTTGGTTAACTCAAGGAGACCGTCCTTTGTCAGGGTATTGATCATGACTGGTGATGATGATTCGAAACCGAAACAGTAACGGCCCGGCACGGCTCGGGTCTGATTACAAAAGTCGTGGAAACGCGTCATGTTCCGGAAGTGGCGTCTTCTCCCCCTCCCCCCGCCTCCTCCCGCAGCCCCGCTCCTCACAAAGCCCCGCCTCCGCCTGTTTCAGCCCCGCCCCCTTCCTCCACTTGACGACTCCCCCTCGCATCCACGGCATTCTCTTCCGGGGCGGCTGTGTGCGGGTGTCATGGCCTCCGTGTACGACGAGGTGGCGAGCCTCCAGGGCCGCCTCCAACGCGAGAAGCATGGGGACAAGGTGAGGTAGTGGATTGAAATGGCGAGTTGAGGGTGGTAAGACGAAGGGGTGAGGATGATTAAATGAAGGGGTGAGGGTGGTGAGGTGAGTGTGGTTAAGTGAAGGAGTGGAGTTCAAGTTGATTTTGTTTAACCAAGTGAAAACTGAAGAAACCAGGATAGTCTCATTTACAATAAATACCGGGGGGTATTAGTCTGCCAATAGAGGGCGATAATTGCTGCTATGTATTATTCGAATTGAGTAAATTTTCGAACTTAACCAAATGTAAACCCAGACATCGGCATACAATGGCCTATTGCGAATGACGTTAGGGGATATTTTAAGTGCACTATGCGTATTGTCACAGTTACTACACCCCAAGTTATAATCAGGGCGGCCGCAGGAATCGAACCGTGAACCTCGGCGACAAACGGCGACTGTGACACTGCTCGGCCGCGTCACCTCTCGGTGTGATGAGGAGTAAGTGTGGTGTGATGCAGTGGTGAGGTGCAGGGGTGAGGGTGTGATGGTGGTGAACGGGTGGGTATGGGTGTCCCAGTGGTCTCGTCATCCCGTGAGTTTCTTCTCCCCCATCTTCACATACCTCTTCACTCTTCAATATCCTTCGCCGCTCCTGTCTCAACTCTCGCCGAGTGTTGTCTAATACTTGAGTGTGGTGGTGGCGGCTTGTGTGGTCTCACAACGTGCGGTAACCTGCAGCCACCGCTATTGCTGCATTCCAGGTTTTAAAGATTTTGAAGAAACTGCACGCTTTGCCAGTCACGGTTGAGATTCTGGCGGTAGGTTTCCGTCCTTACGTCCACTCTAAAAAGCACACGTTTATTTTGTCTTTCCCTTGTGAAGATTAGGAGACTGAATTCTGTAGCCAAAATGTAGGCCGTTGTAAAAATGACAAATTGCTGTTTTCAGATTGACAGGACTTGTTTTTACATTTGGAACATTTTACTCAGTCACTGTTATTTCATTTCCATTAATGTTTCTTAAACGTATTGAATTCTAAATTTGTTTTTCTCCGAAATAAAATGGACAAATACATTTTAGTTTCTTGATAGGATGTGTAATATTTTTTTATGTTTCTTAACGGGATGTGTAAATTTGTATCCACTTTATTGGTTTTTCAAATAACTTTTATTTGAATACTGCATGTGAATGACCCGAATGCAAAAGGGAATTGTAAACTTGATAAGAGACTGCATCTAGTAGTAACATTGAGCACACTGTTCACGTCACGGCCACACAACACGGAAAATAGGCGGCGACAGCCCATTGGTAACGTGTTCCCCACTTGTAGAGGTATGTGGTTATAATCTGACAGGCCTCCCTCGGTAAATACCACTGGTGTATTCAGCAAAAAAAAATTGCTTTCTGCTTCAAAGTGTATGTTAAAGATTTTGTGACATCACGTTTCAAATTCGCTAAATTTGAAAAAACATTTGCAAATGAATTCATTTTGAAACGCATAGCAATCATCGCCCCTACTTAGAACATTTGACAGGACCTTCCTGAAAATAAATCTTGAGACTCATTGGAAGGTTTTCTTGTACACAAGAATGATAATAATCAATTATGTAATTGTACACAGGAAACGGGCGTTGGAAAATCGGTGAACTCTCTGCGTAAAGATCCACGCGTGGGTGACGTGGCACGAGCGCTGGTGCTGGAATGGAAGAAGCTGGTGCCCCAGGATGAATGTGCGCCCCGTCCCATCTCCCATCGGTGGGTACTCTTCCTGAGAGGTAATGTGAGCGCTGGAGAACCAGGTGAGCGCTTGTGCGCACTGGTTCACAGAACACTGCTGTCAATGTTTCATTGGTCTTCAAACAGCAGATGCCATCACAAATGCCGAGCTCAGGTGAGCTCAATCGCATAAAACATATCTCATGTTCTTTTGTGAAACAGGAGTGTGGAGCATGGCAGGAGAGACCAGCAGTATCCCGAGCACACAGCGGAGAACGCTCCAAGTGGCAAGTATTCCCAGGAGGGCGACGGGGACTCGGACATGGAAGACAGAGCGCCTCCACAAAGCTTTGTGCGTCAGGATCACGCGGCCCACAACAATATCGTCCACAAGCGACATGCGAACAAGGGCAGTCCGTGCGACATGAGGACCGTAAAGACAGTGTCCAGAGAGGGACTCCACACCACGTCAAAATCAAACAGCTCGGAGGACTTGACAGAAAAATCCGAGCTTCCCACGCCATCACTGGGCAAGAGCACACAGAAGCAGAAACACACGTCTGGGGATGGGAGAACAAAACACAAGGCAAGCAGGACTGAGCAGCAAACAGACATTCCCAGCAACAAAGCCGAGTTCAGCAGCAGAGATTCTCGAAAGGAAAGTAAGATGAAGCCTGAGAGGCAAGCGGCTCCGAGACACGCCAAGGGCTCTCTGCTGAGCGATGATGATTTTGACAGTCCCACCATGCCCTTTGAGTCCTACCTCAGCTACGACCAGCCACAGAAGAAAAAGAAAAAAAGATGTAATGAGGAGCCGGTTGGTGAGAAACTGTGGCACAGCATGGCGCCGGCAGCAGAGGCAGTGAACCGAGCGAAGAGGGATGGCAGTGCGGAGTGTGTGGAACCAGTGCCTGAAAGGGCATCGAGGAAACAGGGAGCAAACGCCGAAGGTCAACGGAGACTAGAGAACCCCTCCAGTGCCTCCAGATCCAAAAAGGCAAGTATTCCCATGCACACAGCCGTACCTCGTGCACTAACACACTCGCTGAGCACAGTGTAGTCAGATGGTCAAGGCACAGGATTTAAGGATTTGGAGTGGCCGGACAAGGTATCCCTGGAGCTTGCAAGAGTTTGGGAGGAAGCCACAGGGTCTGCAAGGGTCTGTGTTTTCTCCTCCTGGCCGGCCTGTACAGTCGTGCGATGGTGCGGTAGCTGCTGGATGTCTGCGTGCTTTATTTAACACAGCACCTCGAACACTAGAGACAAGGTTAGCAACTTGGCCTAGCGGCAGAACGTGTACCATTTCTTGTAGAGGTTCGCGTTTTTAATCCAGCAGGGCGCCCTGTTTTATACTGCTGGTGTAAACATGCGCCGTCGGTTTCACAGTGGATGTTAAAAATAATTCAAATTTGTTGAATTAAAAAAATGATCGCAAATTACTTAATTGGTAAACACATAGCAGTCATCACCTCCTACTGTGAAAACATAACAGGACTCTCCTAAAAATGACTCTTGAGACAGTAAGGCTTTCCTGGATAATCAATCGTAATAATTATGTACATCTATCCTGACATTATGTACATATACCAGATGGCTGCTGTTCTGAGGCACATGTAAACAGCACCTGAGGTAACCTCAGCTGTTCTGGTAAAGCCTTTAGAAGAGTTTTACATTGATTGCAAACTTGTTACCACTACTGTTTGAGTACTGTGTCATCCATAAATTTCACAAAAGTGAGTATTTGTGTACGGGTACACTGAAGCCTCAGTTTAACTTGCCAGAAAAGCACTTTCCTTATATACAAATCAGCATGTAATGCCATCAGTTCCTCCCGCCCATGACTAAATCACCCGAAACGCATCCTGATCTTGTCCGATCTCGGAAGGCACACAGGGTTGAGCCCGGAGAGTGCTTGGATGGGCGACCACATTGCATAACAGGTGTCATGTGCTGTGGGGCTATGTCGTGGGCAGCAAGGACATTGCAAAGAGTCAATTGCTGCAGAATTCTTAATTTTTATACATGCGGGAAACGTTATGAGGACAGTCGGGAAAAGTGAAAATATTGTTAGTTCTGAGACGTTGGAAACGAGATGAGAGATGCAGGTAAATGCATGGGATGTAACAAGTTTCCCTCCAGTCACTTGTTTAGTGGTAAGCAGCAGGTCACAAAGACCATGGGCCTTGTGGTTTAGAGCTCCCTCTCTGCCTCCAGCACAAGTACGAGGTGGTGCCCTCGCTTCCGGACATCACGCTGCCCCTCATTCAGCCGAACTACTGGCCCCTGCCCTCGGCAGAGCTCCTTGAGCTCTCACCACAAAAGAAGAAAGGTAATATCGTGCCGCCCTCGTCGTGTCGTGCTGCCCTCGTCGTGTCGTGCCACCCTCATCGTGTCACCCTCGTGTCATCATAGTGTATCCCGCATTGTAACCCTAAAGCACTGCACCTTGACCTTTTTACCTTATCGCTGCACGTTTTTAACCGTACATACACGCGCTGTCTCCTTCACAGTGGACGTTGTATATCCTTTGACGTTATTCAAAAGTGAGTAGGCCATGTTTGCTGGCGTCATCGTTCAAATTGGAAGTATTCCTCGCAAATTCTTTGCAGAGGCAAATGGCAACATCACTCCTTTCTGGCAAACTAATATCCACTTGCAGCCGGTGCAGTGTTTCTCCTTGTGCCTCACAGGGACACTTGCCATCAGGGTGTCCCCTAGGCTATTAGTATACAAGAATTCCCCACCAACCACAGGGGTTAGGTTACTGGAAGAGGTTGTGGTAGGCAAATCCGTGGTTGGTAAAGTACAGGGCCTATGGGGTATCAGGGGGGGTATGGGGATCCATGACCACGGTGAGACTCGTCATAGCTATATTAACATAATAAAACATAAATAAACATTAACTTTACATACCTTTCATATTCAGGGTAGAAGTCCATGATTACGACGATGATGATGACAATGCGATGATAGGGGAAGGGGTAGTTAGGAGGAGGGGCTCAGCCCAACCTGCTCCTCTTCCTCCAGGTCATCAGTGACAGATGAGTGGGCAGGCACAGAGGCAAGCACAGACGAAGAGGCAAGCACAGTGGCGCTGCTGGCTGAATCAGTGGTGCTGATCCAGCCAGCAGCAGTTATGGTCACTTTAGTACTTTTAGAAGCACTACCAGCAAGCCTAGCGACGCTGTCTATGCGCTGCGAGAATCGCAACAAAGCAGATGGACAATTGATAAGTTACACAGCGCTATGAGTAGCACAGTGGAGTGGAGAACCATGGCCGTGAAAAATTTGTCATTGCGTGTTGCGGTCCCCTCCTTACACGTGGATATTCAAAATTTCCTGGCTGGATTTGGTAAATTGGTATACAAATAATAAACTCTGTATAAATGAATTCCGTGGTTGGCGAGGGATTGCTGTATATAAAAACAATCACAGCTGGACATTGGAATAATTGAGAGTTGCTGAGGCATTTAAACACCCTGTAAATGCCAATCATGTTATCGTTATGTCGCCACCCATGTATTGTGAGCCTCGTCGTGTTGTCGTCATCACGTTCCGTCACTCTCAACATCGTGTTGCGTTCGCCGTGTCGTGTTGTCTCGTGCAGCGTTGCAGAGCTCCGTGGCTCCACTGGATGACGGCTTCACGGGGAAACGCCTGAACAGCAAGATGGCTGTGTACTCAGGCACCAAGACGGCCTTCTTACCCAAGATGATGTCGCTGTACGAGCAGTGCCTGCGCGTGCTGCAGAACAACATTGATTGTGAGTGCACACGAGCACGCTTTTCATTAACGCTTTTTGCAGCATCACCGGCTGTGTGCACGCTCTCTGGGTGCCACGCTCGTCATTTTGCTCCAGGTTTGCTTCACGTTCGCTTGCACGATGCTGTCACGTTGCCTTCACACAAGTGGGTAACGTCGCTCTGTTGACTGCCTCTGGCCGCAGCCATTCACGAGGTTGGCGGGGTGCCCTATGACATACTGGTGCCAGTGCTGCTGCGTTGCACGCCGGAGCAGCTCTACCGCATTGAAGACTGCAACCCGGTATGTGGCACATGTCCGGGTTTGCACAGATGTCACGATACATTTTAAATTGACTCTCACACACATCAATGTAGTGCCTCCAATGGCAGCATAGTTCATGTGAACCAATTACAAATATATTAATCCAAAATAGTAGATTTTTACACTTGTGTTACACGCTTAAATAATGTATGTAACAAATGATTTTTGGAGGTTTATGCATCTGTATTATAAAACCAGATAGTTGGAGATTGTCAGGGCAGATCTTGGAGGATACTGTGTGTCACCTGTACAGCAGCTGTGGGATCTGGTGGAGGGGAGAATACATTGGCAAGGTGTGGTTACATCAGCGGCTTTGGCCACGATGACAATTTGATCTTGATAAGTCTACCAGAGTAATAAAGAGTGTACGTTGATGTCACATTTATACAACTGATGGCCTCATCCAGCAAGAGCTGTGGCCAAGCCACCTCCACTATTGCATGCCGTCTGCCGGCGCTATGGATGCAGGTTTGATTGAGTAGCGCCGGGTGGGCGGTTGTGCTGAATACTTTTTTGCTGATAGAGCTTTGTGGAGGAGACGACTGAGCTGTGGGCGGGACACTGCGCACGAGATTTCCGCAATGAGGCAAGGCAAGAGTATGAATCGTGGCGAGAGTTGTACCTGCGCAAGTACGAAGAGCGGGAAGCACGCCTCAAGCGACTCACCCAGTCCATCAGCAGCACCCACTCCAGCAAACCTAAAGGTACGATTAAAGTTTATGTTGTTTAACCAGGTAAGAGAAAGCAAGAGGTGAGGATTGTCTCATTTGTAACCTCGATCAGCAACATGACAAAAGCAATAATCTTACCTATATAAGTATTTTTTTGTCCGTCTGTCTGTCTGTGTACGCAACTTGTGATGCTTTTAACTCAGACTGGGGGGTTTACGTTTCAAATAAGTACCCAGATACCACGCGATAAGCCCCGGAGTCAGCCAGCGCTATTCGTATTTCACATCTGTCAACTTTAAAGTAGTTAAATTAACAATTTATTGCTATTATATTACTACGCTTGAGCACGCGCCAAAGCATGCATCTGTGCATGCCCGAGAACGCTGACATGTGGTTCCCATAGCAAGGCACACACGCAATCAGTGGGGGAAGGGGGGAATTTGCATTCGTGTTAAAAATGCAAAAAAAATACATACAACGCTGAGGTAAATTCTTCAAAGTGTGACGTCCTCTTCCCCCCCCCACCCAATGTGTGCACTTACTACTATTGGGTTGGTAGATATGACAACTGTAGTGCGGGCGGGGGGATGGTGGGGGGGGGTAGCCGCCCAGCCCCAGCCGGTCAAGGTGCCACCTCGGACGGCTGCAGTCACAAAAGCTTTAAGTCAAGATTTACTTGATACTATTATAGAGTCAACATATACTATTATAGAGTCAACATATACTATTATAGAGTCAACATATACTATTATAGAGTCAATATATACTATTATAGAGTCGGTAGATACGACTATAGAGTCGGTAGATACTACTGCAGAGTCGGTAGATACGACTGTAAAGTCGGGAGATACTACTGCAGAGTCGGTAGATGCTACTGTAGAGTAAGCAGATACTGCTATGTCGTCAGTAGATACTACTAGTCAGTATATACTGCTGTAGAGTTGGTAGATACGACTAGAGTCAGTAGATACTACAATAGTCATTAGATACTACTTAGAGTCAGTATTCACTACTATAGAGTTGGTTGATACTGCTATAGAGTCAGGAGATAATACTATTGAGTCAGAAGTTACTACTATAGAGTTAGTTGCTACTATAGTCAGTGGATACTACTATAGAGTCAGTAGATACTACTATATAGTCAGATACTACTACAGTCAGTATATACCGTTGTAGAGTTGGTATATACGACTATAGAGTCAGTAGATACTGCTATAGAGTTGGTTGATACTATTATAGAGTCGGCAGATACTACTATACAGTCAGATACTACTACGGTCAGTAGATGCTACTATAGAGTCAGTAGATACTACTTTAGAGCCAGATCCTACTGTAGACTCAAATACTATAGAGTCACTAGATACTACTCTCTATTGTATGTAGGGTGTGTAGGTATATATGCCTACGTGGGGGTAAAAATATTTTTTGAGGGGGGGGGTCGACAATTTTCGGAAATCTTTTATATCAACTATTTACCCCCCACTTTATATACATTTTTGGACTTGTGCAAGCCTCTTATAATATTGTTGAAAAATGGACAGACAAACGTCATGCCAGGCTTTCACAATAGCTTAGTATTTGTGTATGTATGTTTTTAAGAGAAGTTTCGAAATATATTTTTCCCCCGGGCAACGCCAGGTACTTCCCGCCAGTGTAAAATAAAGTACAACCTTGAAGCAAAGAACAATCGTGGGCAAAAGCAAATAGAAATCGTCATGAAAACAACTGCGGTATAGAAGAAAGAGTCCTCAAGGACATTTTTGAAGTGATGGAATTCCATGTGTTTGGGGCATTTAAAAGGGCCCAGCAATGCGCAGAGAGCCAGGGCACCAAAAGCTCCACGTGACGTGTCTGTGTGTCGGTGTCACCGGATGACGCGTTGGTTTTTCTGGGTCGGTGTCCATCTAGGGCGCCAGGTCAAGTTGGCATTTGTGAATACAACGGTGAAGCCACCGCGTGATGTGCGACGTAAACAGGAGCGTCACGGCACAGGGCGTCCCACGCCTTTCGGTGCTACCGAGCGCTTACGGTACTCCTCAGCGGCAAAACATTGCGCCAACACTTTGTGGAAACACATTGCAGCTGTATGATCCATGCTTGTCGGTGTGCATGTGTCAGTCATCTCAGTAAGTTAACCCATAACACCTGGATATGTCCCGTGACCTTCTAGTAAGCCTCCAAAATTTGTGTGGTCTCAAAGGTGCATCTAGCCTTGCACAAGCCCTGTGGTGACGTCATCGGTGACGTCACCACTGACTTAGTGGCAAATGACAGCTGTTGTGCTGGTGAGGGTAAGAGTGTCCTATCCATTGTTTGTGCATATGGCAGTGTTTTGGGAGCTACTGTATGAGTGTATGCTGTACTGGTGTTGTGTGTGTGTTGTGTGCCACGTGTTTTCATATTGTGTGTGCTGCATGTGTGCATGTTGATATAGTAGGTGCTGTGCTAGGGGTGCTGGTTGTATTGTTTGTTTTATGATCCCTGTTGTCCACTGCAGGGACAAGACTCCTGTTGCCTTGGTTCCGTTGAGTGGGGAGTGTCATGCAATGGCGAGTGCAGGTGGGAACTCCGATGGGACATCCGTTCGACCGCGCTCGCTCAGCCCAGTCCCAGGACCCTCCTCATCTGGGTCATCAGCAGGCGGAGATAAGAGACAAGTCAAAAGTATGGTGCTTGGGACCACCCGACCAAACCACTTATAATGTGCAGCAGTTATTTAACCGTCATTTAACAAAACTCAAGTGTTTTACATGTGATCCATATATAGAGTCTATCGCTTTGTATTTTACAGAAGTCGCACCAATGATGGCAAAGACCCTGAAAGCTTTCAAGAACCGTTTTGGCAGGAGGTAGACATGTGGCGTGGAGGGAAAAGCTGTGCAAGGCGGAAGGCGCAGGACGGCGCCTGCACCTGGCAACGCTGCTGTGCTGCTTGAGCCCTGGGCCCCAGCCCCGCTCCTCGAACTACTGCACCACTACACACATTCGGGCTGGCACTTGAAATTTTAATTTTTTAAACTTTTTTTATTTTAGATTTGAAGTTTTCGTGACTGCAAGGATCCATACTCTTTGGTTATTTCGGTAAAGTCACGTAGGTAAAAAATAATAATACATTTTTGCAGTTTTCATCATGAACTAATCAAGTGAGATGTGAACGATGGGGGAAGTTATAAGGAACCCCCTGGCTGCCTGTTTCTTCATCACTCGGACCTATGCTTCATGCTTGTCAATCTTATACGCTGTTGCTCTAATTTTGGTGCCGTTTTTTCAATGAAGGAACGCAAGAGACCCGAGATCGTTGTATTTAATGTGGCACAGGAAATAGCTGTTGTTCTTTAAAGATATGGTTGGTGGCCATCTGCGCTTGTGATTGCATACCGGGAGACCCTTATACATTTCCCGAGGCAAAATGCCACGAAGATTACAACTCGCACTAAAACTGTACCCAGAGAATTCTGCAGCGTCTTTAGGTTTCCGTTTTATTACCACTTTAGCTGTGGTGCGTGTGGACAAAGAGGCTTGCCCATACTTCCCTGTGATGCGTGAACGTCCATGGGGCCTTGAAGGGCTCGAGAAGGCAGTGCATTGGAACGTCCGATGTCGGTCATTTTCACAATGAAATGGCTGAGCTCAGCCAAACGTGTAGACATGTTACACCGTGGTGTAAAGTGTAACTTAATACATTGTAAAATAAAAACACGAATCGTAACTCATGGAGCTTCCAGAACATGTCTTATTCTGTGAGACTTCGGAAGGGCTACGTCCCTGTCACGCGTTCCACGTTAAACACAGTTCTGCTTGCTCACTAAAAACGTGTGGTCGGATCTGGGGTCTTGGTCTACATGTTGATTACCACCGTCACGTGTCTAGTCTGCTGCTGGAGCCAACTTCGGCTGTCCGACTGTAAGGTGCATGGGCAATTCCGTTTTGTGGCAGCCGTGACGGACTCGTGCTGTTGCCAATGTGGAGTTCTGCTAGCAGCGAGAGGGCTTCAGGAGAGAGTTATGTAGTGTTAAAGAAGCGTAGACTAGAGTGGTCTGCGGTATATAGTCCATAATTGGGTTGAATGTTCAGTCGCGCAGTGCAATTAGTGTATAGCACTACTGGACTGCAGTGTTTTCGTACGGATGTTAAACTTAGACGTGCATGTGACAGTATAACCTGATTCCAAACCCACTGTGCGTGTACTGGGGCCGTTACTATGACGGGGGAAAAGAGCTCCATGTGGACCCAAGCCGCTGCGCGCCGCCACATCCTGACCCGATCCTCACGTGGAAGAGAAGATGAGGGGCTTGGCCAATCGCGTGCGAGGCCACTGACCGTGGCTCGGGAAAACGACACAATTGGTCGAGCACGTGAAGGGGGCGCAGCTTGTGGTCGTCGCGGCCCAATGGGAGACGAGCTCGTGGCAGCGGCGCTCATCCGGAAGTGCGGTTTGAGGGAGAGGTGAATGGAGGAGGGTAGCTGCGGATTCTGAGCCCTTTGCTTCCCCGAGGCCCGGAGTCGAACTTCCTGAGTCGTCCCCGAGATTTTTTAGTCCCCGAGCTTCTGAGTCCCTCGCCCGGGGGGACCATGCCGTCTCTGCGGCTGCCCTCGCTGACGACGCTGGCGGTGGTGGCGTTCGTCGCGTACCTAGCGAACATCGCCTTCGTCCTACACGGGGTTCTCTACACGGAGCCGTGTGGCGCGGGCCTCGAATGCGTGACCTCCATGCTGCACGCAGAGCCCGCGCCGCGCCTGCAGGTGCGGAGCCTCGGGGCGGGGGAGGGGGTCAAGTCTCCTGGCGACCCCATTTGATGGGGGACCGGGGCCGCCGGCCGCTTGAGTCGTGTGAACGACGGCCCAAAGAGACTCGTTGGGTTCAGGCGAAGTGGGCAAGAGCGATTATTGGGCTGTGCTCATCGATGAGCTCTGACGCGGGCGAAACTTGCGTGCTTCTCTCAGACACTGTCAGCTCAGGGCGCCGGGGTCTCGCAATGGCGCAGTTTTCATCAGGGCACGACTGCTGTGTCCCGAGCTCAGCACTGCACCAACATCACAGTGCGCGCGTGGTGTTGTCAATAGTCTCCGAGCCCGTACGGGCCTAAGGGCCCAGAACGCAAGCGGCCAGCAACAAACAGCAGTATGAAAGTTATAGATAATACGTTTTATGAATTTAGCAAGGGCAAGGTTATACAGGCTTGGGAAAAGAGAATTTCAAACTGGAGCTGTGCGAGGGAATGCGTAGAAATAAGCGTAGTGACATTCAGTGGAGACCGGGTGGGTGAGTTGTAACATGCCGTGTGATGGTGGAGTACTGTGGTAGGCCGAATCCGCAACATGGGTGGAGGAATTAAATGAGTGAAGTTCACGGAAACAGTAGCCATGGTAAGTCGCCTCGCGTCTTACGCGTTAGATTAATTTACACTTATTTTTGTTATGCGCGTACTATTATTGAAATAATGCGCTGCCAGCTGATCGTTAGGCAGCAAAGTTCAGGAGCGATGCTGCCTACGGTGTAGTGGCAGCAGTACCAACAACAACCGTCAGTTGGCATCTCCTTCTAGCGCGCCTCTCTCCACTCCTCCCCTCCACCAGTACGCCAAGTTGCCGGACTATCCTAGTAGCAAAAGTAACTGCACGTGCAGCAGCTGCGACACGTGCAGCAGCTGCGACACGTGCAGCAGCTGCGACACGTGCAGCAGCTGCGACACGTGCAGCAGCTGCGACACGTGCAGCAGCTGCGACACGTGCAGCAGCTGCGACACGTGCAGCAGCTGCGACACGTGCAGCAGCTGCGACACGTGCAGCAGCTGCGACACGTGCAGCAGCTGCGACACGTGCAGCAGCTGCGACACGTGCAGCAGCTGCGACACGTGCAGCAGCTGCGACACGTGCAGCAGCTGCGACACGTGCAGCTGCTACTCGCAACACAAGCGACCGTCTTCAGGTGAGAGAGAAAGCTACTGAAAAAGGTCTTGTATAGGCCTGAGATGGGTGCAGCCTAAGGGTAAGAGGGCTAGGGCTAGAGATGGTCTCCCTGAGGCTGTGGAAGTGACTTGTATTGTGAGCGATTAGCATGTCAATGCACGAGCTTAGTATGCAGCATCGGTGACTGAGCGAGAAAGACATCCAGCTCGTCAATACAAAGACATCCAACCTAATAATGCAATTCCGAGAGTCAGCTAAAATCGCAGGAAGGATGGAAATATCACAGCAGGTTAAGACTTTACCTGATTAATGACGTCCTTCCAATGATTGCTCAATGTGTAGCCATCTTCTCGGTTGAAGTTGTGTCTGCGTTTATATTTCTGGATGGCTTCATGAACACATCTCTGATGATAGCCAGTGGGTTTGCAGAGTATCTTAGTCTTGGAAAAATCTATTTCGTGTCTTCCCACAGCGTTAAAACAATGATCAGCAACGGCAGAGGTATTGGTCCTACCGTGCTTCAGATCTGCCTTGTGTTCACGAACACGGTCCGAGACATGTTTCGTTTCCCTAATGTAACTGCTGCCGCAGCCACAACTTAGTTTGTAGACACCAGGATATTGCATGTCAGGAATCACATCCTTTACAGATGGGATCAAATCACGGATTTTGTGTACTGTGTTGAAACGAACCTGGATCTTGTGTTTGTTTTAAGATTTTGGAAATATTTTTGGTAACCCCTGCTATGTATGGCAAGGTGATGGTTTTGATTGGATCCTCAGATGGTTGTCTCCCTATGGCTGGGGAGACAGCTTTGCGGATTGTACGGTCAGAATGTCCATTCATCCTGAGGGCTTGGTGTACGTGCTCCAACTCACTGGCTAGGTGGTGCTGTTCGGAGATGCAACGGGCCCTATGGTGTAGTGTTTTGATGAGGGAATTCTTCTTGGCTGGATGGTGGTGGGAGTCAGGCTTTTTAGATAGGCATCCGTGTGGGTGGCTTTCCTGTAGATAATGTCCCAACGAGCCATCAGGTCTCTTCTCGATAAAAACAACCAGGAATGTTAACTTGCCATCTTTTTCCACTTCCATGGTGAATTTGAAGGCTTCGCACTAGCTTAATCCGGCACTGAGTACATCGCCACACTCAAGAATCTCACTACATGTTAAACATCTTTTAGTTTAACTTAAAAAAGTATTTATTTAAATCGGCTGTTACTATCTTTATACACGTATGGTAGTATTGCAAATATGTAGACGTAAGAATGAGGTTTGATAGCGTGCTCTCCCCAACCAATTTATTTCTTACGTAAATATCTGTTTAATTTACACAACCCCCTTGTAAAACAAGAGGTAGCTGTAGTAGTGATGGAAGAGTGAGTGCAGGATATTAAATTACTACGACTGCTCTACTCTGAATTATATCGGTTGCAAAAGTTGGGGGCTCCACCCTAGGTTTGACAGCAGCAGGATTCCAACATCGGCCGATTGTGTGCACTGCATAGCAGAGTGATACCTGCTTGGGGTTAGATTATTTGGCATGGTAAGTTAACCCATAACAACTGGAATATGTCCCGTGACTCTGCTAGCGAGCCTTCATGTCACACGGCCTCAAGGTGCACCTAGCCTGGCACAAGTGCCGTGGTGATGGTAATGCAACTTAGTGGCGAATGGCAGTTGTAGGTGAGACTGGAAGGCGTGGATAAGATTGGTAGGTGTGTGAGATAGGAAGGCGTAGATGAGACTGGTAGATGTGTGAGATAGGAAGGTGTGGGTGAGACTGGTAGGTGTGTGAGATAGGAAGGTGTGGGTGAGACTGGTAGGTGTGTGAGATAGGAAGGTGTGGGTGAGACTGGTAGGTGTGTGAGATAGGAAGGTGTGGTGTGACTGGCTCCAGTTTAACAGCAGAGGTCTCACTCCGAATCAGTCGAGCGGCAATATATTTTCATCGGTTGCGTAACGCTGTGTGGAAACTACCTGGTCTGTCGCTCCGCGCTAAGCTTCAGGTCTTCTCGGCCACGGTCATTCCCTCCCTTCTCTACGCTTGCGAAACGTGGACCCCCCTAATGGAACATCTTCGCCGGTCAGAAACATTTAGGCTGGCCTGCCTACGATCCATCCTGGGTTTAACCAGACTGGATTGTGTGAGGAGCTCACAAATCCTTGAAAGATCTGGGCAAGGTCCGATCGGTGAGCTCCTCCGGCGGGGAAGGCTGCGATGGCTGGGTCATGTAGCCCGCATGCCCACCCACCGCATGCCGAAACAGCTTTTGTTCGGCCGGATTGAGGGGGCTAGGCGGGCGCGGCACAGGCTAGAGAAGAGATGGAGTGATGTGGTACAGGAGGACGTGGAGGTGAGTGGACTTGCCGATGACTGGTACCAGCGGTGTCAAGATCGGCCTCTGTGGAGGAGGATCGTGAAGGACGCTACTGGGCAGTTGGAGGTAGTCACCCTCCAACAACAACGGAGGGCGGAGGAGCGACTCTCAGAACAACGAACGGAGCGCCGGGTGGCTAAAGCACAGCAGGTTGGCACAGTAGGGGGCACAGGTGGTGCATCAGCCAGTCATCTCAGTCAGTCGACCCGTGGCACCTGGGTCTGCCCCGTGACCTGCCAGCGGGTGTTCGACACTTCACGTGGCCTCAGGGTGCACATAGCCTGGCACAAGTGTCGTGGTGACGTCACCGCCACTTAGTGGCGAATGGCGGTTGTTGTTGTGTGAGATAGGAAGGTCTGGGTGAGACTGGTAGGTGTGTGAGATAGGAAGGTCTGGGTGAGACTGGTAGGTGTGTGAGATAGGAAGGTGTGGGTTGAGACTTTTAAGTGTGTGAGATAGGAAGGTGTGGGTGAGATTGGTAGGTGTGTGAGATAGGAAGGTGTGGGTGGGACTGGGAGGTGTGTGAGATGTTGGTGAGACAGAGAGGTGTTTCTGTGTCTCACAGCTCAGCGTATATACAGCCCTGGAGCAGAGCGTGAGGCGAGTGAGCAGCCTTCACTTCGCTCTGAACATCGACCCCTTGGACGTGCATTCCTCGTCCCACAGGTGCGGTCACTGGGGGTAAACGTGAGGCACGTGCAGGAGACCTCGTTTATTACTGTGACGGCCGGGGCACCTGAGCAACGCGGCGCTGACCAAGCCCTCGCTCGATTGTCTCGGAGTGCCGCATCACGCCGACACCACGCGTGTTTGCGGTGTGCAGGGTGGTGAACGTGAGTCTGCCCGTGCGCACGCGCAGCAACGGCACCCTGTTCGCGCACGTGTTTGTACATCGTGCCGGGGAGCTGCCCTGGCAGGACGAGCAAGCGGTGCACGGGGTGGCGATGCTCACCACGCACATGGTGCCGCGGCCCGACGTGGTCAACCTCATGACCCACAATGAGGTGAGCGCCACCTGTGTCGTACTCAGGCATTCCACATGCACAAATTATCACTTACGTGTGTCCTCACCACATACCCTCGCTGCATCACCAATGGGTGAGTGAGTTGAGTGAGCGCCCTCTTGCCATGACTCCCCCAGTCAGCACAAGCAGCACCCAGAGAGGACCCGGTCACTCATTGGCGCTCGCAGCTCACACTCTCCGTAATGGCCGACGCTGTCTCCCTGGACCCGCGCGCTGTGCCTGCCGAGCTCATGCCATACTTCACCAAGTGAGGCAGTGCACGCATGTGTGTGTATGCGTTGTGCTCAGGTGTTCACTGGAGTGTGTTCTAGTCACATTGCGTGTGTAACAGTGCAGTGATTTATTGAGTAAACTAGAATCTTATGCTCAGGATTAATGCATCGAGTAGCGGGTGTTGAATCAATTGCCGTATTTGGTTCCCTGCGCGTGATGGGGCTGTGTGACTCGTGCTGGCATGAGAGCTGCGACATTCACCACAATAGAAGTAAGAGAATAGATTTCATGAATGGAATCAATGCAGACTGGTTACCATTGGTAACGTCGTGGGGAGGAAGAATCGGTAGAGGTGACAGAAATCATGCACAAAAATATGTGTGTGCTGTGTCTGCGCTGTTCTTCCAGGTCACCTCGAGACAAACACCACTACCTGCCTATTCTTTACGTGGATGAGCTGAGCAACCGCATAAAGGATCTTGTTGTATGTACACATTCAGCTGGGATAACCCTCCTGGCATCACACTGGGATGTGGAGCAGATCCCTACACCACACCCTGGTTTTATTTACCACAGTGTGATTGGTTTCGTTGTGTGAGATTCTGAAATTCTAAAAGCACTTGTGGGTTTCTCCTCAGGTTGTCCAGAGCAGTGTGGGCATGCTGCCCCTGTCAGTGCACTTCAGCCCCATCTCCCTGAGCCGCCTGCGTCTATGGCTGCACATGCAGCATGCCATTGAGTCCCTGCAGCAACTGGGTCCGTGCACACAAATGCAAAGATCCCCCTTATAGCCTTAACAGACTGTTGTTGCAAGTGCCATTAGCTAGCATTTATGAAGGCCAGCATGGCACACGAGGGGGGTGGGTGGTGAGCACCACACCCGGCCGCCTTTTTCTCCCTAATGGCGAAGTTTTTATATATCGCACAAGGTATTCATTTGAGATTGAGTCGACCTAGGAGAGGCCCAGGACCGGTTCAGATAATTGTCACTTGGTGGTGGCCGTGAGCAGGAATCGAACTCGGGTCGCCGAGTTCGTAGCACAGCACGCTAACCGCTGCACTACCACTCCCCACAAACTCACTTTCACACATACTCTCACACACATAAAAACTAATTCTCCGCACGAGGCTGACGCATTACATCTCACAGAGGATCGCTCCGCTGAACAAAATACTTGTGAACTCGCAAGTGCGAGTTCACGTTTTAAGTCATTGTTAAAAAAAAAAATCTATTTCATGGAAGCTGGTTCATAGGTGCGGGTGTTCGTGAGTTGAGGACTGCCTGTACTGGCAACGGGTGTGTGGCGCGGTTGACAATGGAGCAACCGGTCCCTTCCGCAGGCTTCACAGAGAAGGATGTGGACGAAGTGAAGGGGATCTTCGCCGACACAAATCTCTACTTCCTGGGTCTCACCTTCCTCGTGGCCGCCTTCCACGTGAGTATTCCTTCCCTCCCCCTCCTCGTGTGTGTGCCGCGATATGGACACTGCGTATACCGTGTTTTGTGTGCTCAGTGTGTATTATGCTGTGTAATGTTTGTATTCTGGCGTGTTGCTGTGTGTTTTATAAAGCTGTGTTATGATGCTGTGTTATACTGTGTAACTTGTGATATGGCGCTGTGTGTTATGATCCGTTTTCTGTGCATGTTATAATGCGGTGTGATGTGTGTTGTATGTGATGCGTGGATTATATTTTGCTGTGTGTTATGATGCATTATGATGTGTGTTCACTGTATTATGCTGTGTGTATTATGATGTGTGATGTGTGTGTTATGATGCTGTGTATGTTTGGATACGTTGTGATATATTTGTTATGATGCATTGTGATATGTGTTTGTTATTATGCATTGTGACATGCATAATAACATTGTGTGATGCATTGTGATGTGTTTTGATGTGTGTTATGATGCATTTTGATGCACCTTGTATGATGTGATGCGCGTGTTATGACATAATGCGCGTGTTATGATGCATTGTGACACGGGTGTTATGTATTGGGATCCCGTGTAGCTGCTGTTTGATTTCCTGGCTTTCAAAAACGACATCAGCTTCTGGCAGAGCAAGCGCGACATGGTGGGCATGTCTGCCCGCGTAGGTGAGTCTCTCTGTACCTCTAGACTCTCACATACTGTGGCGCAGCTGACTGCTTCCCCTGCCAAGGAATTTCCCAAAACGCTGTCCACATCGTTCTGTGACTAGCACATTTATGGACCTTATAGTCAACCATTGTAATCTGCACCCCTTCAATGGAGGAATAGCAAAGTTATACAAACTCTCTTATGAAGCCCTCTCACCACTGCTAGCAGACTTCAACATTGGCATCTAGCCCCTGAACATTTTGCTGCCATACGCAAGAATGGAATAGCACAGTAGCTCGATCACGATGGGCTCCCCTCTCATGGTGAAATGAAGATTACTGCACAGACCACAGCGGTGTTTGTATTTCGTCCCAGTAATTGGCAAATATGACGATGGTAGTACTGCTAAAACCTGTGAACCTCACTACTTTAGTATTAAAACGTTAGTATTAAAACTTTGTGTGTGAGCTCGCTGCGCTATGAACCCGGCGAACCCGAGTTCAATTCCCGCTTATGGCCAACACCAGTGATGATTATCTGAACCGGTCGTGGGCCTCTCCTAGGTCGACTCAGCCTCAAATGAGTACCTAGTCCGACATATATATAAAAAAAACTTCGCCACTTGGGAGACAAAGGCGGCCGGTTGTGGTGCTCACCAACCACCCCCTTGTGTGCCATGCTGGCCTTCATACATGCTCGCTAATAGCACTTGCCCCAACAGTTTGTCAAGGCTATAGAGGGGATCTTTGTCTTTGTGTGTGTACATGATTGTGCATTTCTGTTCATGCCTGCATCTGAGTGTGTGTAGACATGTGCATGCCTGCGTGCAGGTGTTCGTGCATGTACGTGTGTGCGTGCATGTCTCTTAGTGTATGTGTAGATAGTGTGGGGAGCGATAGTGTAGCGGTTAGCGCGCTGCGCTATGAACCTGGCGACCCGGGTTCGATTCCCGCTCACGGCCAACACCAGTGACGATTATCTGAACCGGTCCCGGGCCTCCCCTAGGTCGACTCAGCCTCAAATGAGTACCTGGTGCGGTGTGTAAACATTGCCACTAGGGAGACAAAGGCGGTCGGGCGTGGTGCTGGCCACCCACCCCCTCGTGTACCGTTCCGGCCTTCATAGGTGCTCGCTAACAGCACTTGCCCCTACAGTCTGTTAAGGCTATATTGGGGATCTTTGTCTTTATCTTTTGTGTATATAGTTGTTGTGTGTTTGTGCATGTATGTGTGCAGTGCTATGGAGATGCTTCAGCACTGTGGTCATCTTCCTTTTCCTCATGGATGAGCGCACCAGCATGCTGGTGCTACTGCCAGCCGGCATCGGGACGTTCATTGAGGTATCTGCTGGCTGGGTCACCACACCGCAGGACACGCACTTTTGGATTGTGGACTCCATTTGAGCGTACGACTGTGAAGCCAAACGGTCGTTGCTTGTGGCAAGCAGCTGTGTGGATCGCACTCAGCTCTCTTCTCACCTCGACCTCCCTCTGCTTTCTCTGGCCGTAGGTCTGGAAAGTGACCAAGGCTTTCAAGCTCAAGCTCACGTGGCGTGGTTGGCTGCCCAAAGTGGAGGTAGTCACAGCATTGTCCTGCAAGGGAAGCCACTGGGCTTTATACCGCACTGCCAGGAAAGTGGTGGCGAATTAGAAGCCTCAAAATTCTTGATGTCATGTGTGTGTGCAGGTAGGGCCCTCGTCGGCTTCGGAGAGAAAGACGGATGAGTTTGACTCTCAGGTGAGATCGTAGGAAGTTATCCTGCTGTGTTCTGGTTGTCTGTACATCTGTGTGGTACTGCAGCAAAGATTTTGGTTTCCAGCTGCACTCTTAGCCTGAGCCTTGAGCCATTCATTCAGATATGGCTCAACGGTACCACCCGGGATCACATGCTGACAGTTATTTTACATATTTTTTCTCTAGATCATGACTATAATAGTAATGTCACTACGTATATATAACTAGTTTATTCTTTGGGTCTTTCGGTAAAGATGGGTACAAACTGAGCAATCATTGGAAGGACGTTATTAACCAGTTTAGGTAATAACTGGCTGTGATGTTCCCTTCCTACCTGCCTATGTTAGCAGTTATTTTCGGCTCTCTGAGTTACATTCACTTACACAGCTACCGTTGCTCGTTTTCCTCAATGTGGCGGTGACTCTTGCCGAGCTCTCTCCGATTTTATATTTACATGCAAATTTCTTACATTGACTTGCTAATCTCTCACAATACAATGGCCACCCCCACAGCTTCGTCGTCGTGGGTATGGCTCAGCTATCCGATCTTACATTTACATGCAAATTTCATCTCTAGCCCCGCCCATTTACCCTTGGGCTACACCCATCTCAAACCTTTATAACATCCTGCCTTAGCAGCTCTGCCACCATATATTTTTCCTGCCTCAGCAGCTCTCCCGCTATATTTTTTCACCTGATGACGATTGCTTGTGTTGCGATCGAAACGTTGTGATATTATGTTTTCTATCTACGTGGCTTTACCGAAAGACCCAAAGAATATGCAGTCACGAAAGCTTTAAGTCAAGATTTATCACTAGTTTGTTTGCCCGTCCTAGGACGGAAGCTGTAATATTTACAAAAAAAATCGAGCGGAGTATAATTGTATCTTGTGTAAATATAATGGCAGTGAATCTTGCACAAAAGTACGTCATCAAACACTTCACTGCATTTCACTGTAGCACTGTATTAATGGCAGTGAAATTGGCACAAAACGAAGTCATAACCTCACTTCATGTCACTGTAGCACTGTATATAACTGACCTTCAATTTGTTCAAATTCACTGCTCTGATACTTTAGTCTCTTCTGCTTTCGGTTGCTGGTCTTGAAATAAATTGGAATTCGATACAATATCTGGAAAATCACCGAGAAATATCTATTTTACCATAATGTAGAAGCATAAATTAGACTTACCTTTTGTCTCAAGTGCTGAAGACATAAAGACACGAAATCCACTTTGTTGCTGCGTATAATTATTAGATTAACTTTCAATAAAGAAACATAAAACTTAAAGTGACTTTAATTTGTATTTCCGCTCGACCTTCTGCGTGAGTGTAAAAATCCACCCGCTCATGAATATTAATGATGGGGGGGGGGTGCGACAAGTGGAGTGACGTCACGCGCATTACACACAAACAGACATTCTTGGCTCATTATAGTAGTAATAGCAACTATGGCACATGTTGTAAAGAAAAATGACTGTGTTTGATAGGGAATATAATTTTAGAAGGAAGAGAATCGAATGCAATGTGAAACATTTCGGAATATGACAGTAGGAAGTGTGTCTCTCGTATTTACCGCCCCAGGTGGTACTGCCTGACCTGCTTGGCTTATGGGCGACTATGGAAGTGGTACTCCCTGAGTTCTGGGTGCAACATGAGGCCCGATGGCTGCAGTAGCCGATGGAAGCTGCTGGCCACAGCGACTATGGCTGCTTCCATCTGTTGAAGAACTGCACTGCACATGCCCTGACTATGTCCCTGCATCCGTGTGTTTATTGGTCTTGTGATAACACAAGTGCATTATACCCACGCATGTTATTCCCGAGGAAACGTAGTTCCGCAGCCAGAGACTATGTAAGAGTTATGTGAGCCTCGCCAGACTGGATGACAAGCAGCTATATTGAGCTCACCTGCAGTGGCATGCGGATAGTGGAGGCGCGTGTGTGCTGTTCTCCACAGGCGATGCGCTACCTGTCGTACGCCCTTTATCCGCTGTGTGCCGGTGGGGCGCTCTACTCACTTCTCTACGTCTCGCACAAGAGGTGACGGTGGCCTCCCCTAACCTGTAACTGTCCTCGTGCCATTTCCCCAACTCCGCAAGGACCTTATCTTGCTTTGTTGAATATGAGCTGGCTCTGAGCTGACTGTGAGCTGTGACCTCACTGTGACCTGAGTGGCTTGTCACATGATTTCTATATTGGATTGGACATCTGCCGCTACACTTCCGGAAGGTCTCCCACCCTCCCGGCCAGAGAAGCTGTTTTTTTGTTATTGGTTTAAGCGCTTTATGAAATGTAGAGAGTAACAGTGTGTACGAACAGTCGTGTGTCACAGCCGACCCTCTGCTCCCTGTCTCTTGCAGCTGGTACTCGTGGGTGATTAACAGCCTGGTGAACGGTGAGTGGCGACACGGCTCCATGGACCCCACACTTGTGACGATCGGCTGGGTAGCACCCAGGTAGAGCTATGTCAAGTGGCCTTGATGTGGCTTCTCTAGTAAGGCTTCATCAAGGAATCCTTCAAGCTGCCTTACATTGGTCCCCTGTGGTGGCTGTGTACATTAAACTGCACTCAAAGTGGCCTTTACAATGTAAACTGGGGAAAAGTCCTCCAGAATGCAAAGGTGAGATAATCGCACCACCGTTAAGCCGCGTGATGGCGTTGTCCCCTTTTTTTCGCGTCTTTTCTGGCACGTGTTGTCCATCATCGATTTACAGCTGTGAACTGAAATTCACGAGCCTGAGAATCCCGCTCAATAACGACTAGTGGCAACTCATAGCCAGGCAGAAGCTGAACACGGTCCCCAGTATTGGTTTCACACGTTTTACCCTGTGCCTTCCACCCTCGCTAGGAATCTATGCCTTTGGCTTTCTCTTCATGCTGCCACAACTCTTTGTCAACTACAAGGTAACAGACGTCTTCGTGCCTGTCACTCTCCAACTCCACCGGTCCACATACTCGTGTCATTGTGTCTGCATGTCTCTCTGTCGACATGCCTGTTTGGTCTGTGTTCACATGTTGCTGAGGTCATGTGCCTGTCCTCCTGTCTGCATGCCTCTCCATGTTTGTAAGCCACATTGCCCCCTGCGCTATCTGCCGATTTCTTATGTGCCTGGGTATTTGTACAATGTGTGTGAATGTGTATATATGTGTGTACACTGCGTGTGCATGTGTACATTGTGTGTGTGTTTACACATCATCTTCCACCACGTGGAATTTCTATCTGGTACAGATACAATGTAAGGCTGATCGATGCCTGGGTGTGATCAAGGGATGGCTCCCTACTGGTAAACCATGTCATGTACACTGATGATCAAGTGGTTGGTGCTCACTGAGAAGGAATTTGAGGTCCTGCTGCTGAATCTGGAGTCATGCCACTAAGAGGTGGGGACTCGCCATCATCCCCACCCAAACTAAGCACCTGCATGGGCATTTTGTATCATCCAATACTCCACTCCCTTAACTCCCCATGAGTAATGGGACAGTTATGAAGGGAGTGGAGAGGTTTCTGTACTTAGGTAGTGTGCTTATGACCACCTTCGGTTTGGCAGCAGAGGTCTTATTCCAAATCAGCCAAGTGGCATATTTTTGTCAGCTGAGTAACACTGTCGGAACTACCTGGTCTGTCGCGCCACACGAAGCTACGGGTCTTATTGGCCACAGTCATGCCATCCCTTCTCTTTGCTTCTAAAACGTGGACCCCTCTAATGGAATATCTGCGCCAGTTTTAAACTTTCAGGTTGGCCTGCGTACGATCCATACTGGGTTTAAGCAGGCTGGATTATGTGAGGAGCTCACAAATCTCGATTTAAAGCTTTCGTGACTGCAATGATTCATCTTCTTTGGTTCTTTCGGTAAAGTCACGTAGAATGAGAATAAAATAATAAATTGATAAAATAAAATAACACAATAAAAAAACACTCCAGCGCTGTCCTACCAGACAGTCTCGTCCCTTCACCTGATGAAGGCCGCTTGTGTTGTGGCCGAAACGTCGTGAGAATATTATTGTGTTATTTTATTTTATCAATTTATTATTTTATTCTCATTCTACGTGACTTTACCGAAAGAACCAAAGAAGATGAGCTCACAAATCCTTGAAAGATGTGGACACATTCTCATGATTGAGCTCCTCCAGAGGCCAAGACTGCGTTAGCTGGGTCATGTAGCCTGTATGACCAAGCAGCTTCTGTTTAGCTGGATAGAGGGAGCTAAATGGGCACGGCACGGAGAAGAGATGGACTAATGTGGTACAGGAGGATGTGGAGCTGAGTGGACTTAACGAAGACTGGTACCAGTGGTGTCAAGATTGGCCTCTATGGAGGAGGCTCGTGAAGGATGCAGCTGGAACGTTGGAGGCAATCGCCCAACAACAGCAGAGGGCAGAGCAGCGACACAACGAGCTGAACGGCTAAAACACAGCAAGTTGGCACAGTAGGGAGCATCTGCCAGTCATCTCAGTCAACCAATGGCACCTGGGTCTGTCGTCCTGTGCCCTCGTGTCAGCGAGCCTTCGACACTTCACGTGGCCTGGGAGTGCACCTGGCCTGGCACCGGCACTGTCGTGACGCCACCTCCACTTAGTGGTCAATTGTAGTTGTTGTTGTTTACACTGTGTGTGTTTACACTGTGTGTGTTTACACTGTGTGTGTGTTTAAGTTGTTTCTTTGTACTTTCTAGCTCAAGTCTGTTGCTCATCTCCCCTGGAGAGCGTTCATGTACAAGGTGAGTGCCAATTCGCCATGAGCATGTGGGCACCGTGAGCAAATTGAGCAGCTTTGTATGTTTTTGTTGAATAACTTTTGTTTGGGAGTGGGCTGTTGACGTGTATTATTGTAGTGACGCGTGTGTGATCTTGTATAGTGAGGTAAGCGTGTTATTGTCACATGATGCGTGTGTATGCGTTACGTGATGTTTATGCGTGTTATTATAATTTGTGTTAGGATAGTATGTGTATGTTAAGATAAAGCGTGTTATAATAATGTGTTATGGTGATGTGAGTGTTATGGTATGTGCGTGTTATGATAATCTGTGTTATGAAAATGTGTTCGTGTATTGTGGTGCGTGTGTATGTTATGATAACGTACACGTGCATTATGATCATGTGTATGTGATATTATTGATGTGTGTGTTTATTATAATGTCTGTGCGCATGTTATGATTGTGGCTGTGTTGCTCTCGCGTGCTCCAAGATTCAGTATGGTGTGCGTCTGTTGCGAGTGTCGCTCATGTCACAGTGCGTGCGTGTGTTGCCTTGACCGATTTGCTGTCTTCGCTGCAGGCATTCAACACATTTATAGATGACATCTTCGCCTTCATCATCACCATGCCGACGTCTCACCGCCTCGCCTGTTTCCGTGATGACATTGTCTTCCTTATCTACCTCTATCAGCGATGGTGAGTGCTGAGGACCCCAGGACCTGGGCACAGAATGACTCGCAGGAATCTAGAAATGGCGTAATTACAGGTCAAGATAAAACTTGTCGTGGCTCTACCGCCATAGGGGGTTAAGACAGCAACTTTGCCACCTCGGTACAATGGCGGCATAGAGTAACTTTTGAGCTCCTTTCAGCCAATGAAAACAAAGTTTGTTGCAAATGTTTTTGAATAGTGATTGGTCAACAAAGCGCACGATCTTGAGTAGTCATGGGACCTTTGTCTTATGATCTAAATGATAAGTTGCTAACCGAGTAACCTGCTAGGAGAAGCAACCGTTAGATTTGTCCAAACTGTAAAGTATACGTTTTTATAAAAGAAGATGGTGCAGTAACCATCAGCGGTGACAATCGGCAGAAATAACCGGTGAAACCACCATGGAGATCCAGCACAGCCACAGACAAGAACAGATTGGGACCCCCTTCCCCAAAGAGAGTGAGGGAGATGGCCGTATCTTCGTTAAACACCCACAGATACCCCCCCTGTCCTGATAGAGATACGAACCTCCCAATAAGGAAGAGTCACAAAGTCAAAGTGAGTTCGTGCTCCAAGGGCGTTTGAGGCGGTGCTCATCTCCTGTTTACAGCCATGTGCCAGTGGCGGATATCCCACATTCCTAGGGCAGTGGTGAGACACCCAATATTGGCTAACCCACGGAGCAGTGCTTGTTTTATTCACTCTCTTCATTGTTACTCGATTTTGGCCTTCGACCGAATGCTTTGTACTCAGCTTTGTACTCAGACGGTAGAGAACGATGCATAAACCTGGCCAATGTACACCCCTAGCTGCCACTGCTATTCATAGGCGTAAAATAAAATAAAGTGTTTCGCTCCGGATGACGCTGCAAAGTATTATCTGTATTTTGATTTAGCGTGCTGATCTTAAAGGTGCATTGAAAAATTTGATACTCTGTTGTTGTGGAGTAACTCATGCAGCCAGCTATGGCTATAGGATTTGGTGTTACATGTTATTTATGTAGTTTATTGTAAAAATTCGGTCACAGTCCCTGTGATCACTGTTACGTTGCAATTATGGCTTTATTGTTTAGTGATTTCGAAAAGTTTTTTGGTTTGGACATGTTTGTTTTGTTGTAGTACGGAGTTAGACTGATGGCCTTAATATAAGTTTTCTTGTGGTTGTTGTTGTTTGACTTGCATCCCACTGGGATTTTTTGCACACAGCGTTGGTGTACGGTGCTTTTTTCAGGAATATTTTACTGTTTTTTCATGGATTTTCCGTTTGCACAGTCACATAGTCACTTTAAGATGTTTTCTTGTTCGTGTTTTTGTTTTTTTGTTGTGGTTTCACCCGATTCAAGAGCCGAATGGCTCACAGGGCTATACCCAAATAAATAAACTGAAACTGAAACAATGACTCCACTCAGTACAGGTGTCCCGCAGGGTCCTGTGCTCTGCCCTATTAAATTCCCAATTATATTAATAATTTAGCATCAAACCAATCTCACAAAAAAATTAACGTGTAAGCCAATGACACGATTTCACTTTACCCCAGGATATTAATTAGACAGTGCACACCTAGATTACATGACTACTCCATTCCAAACACTCAATAGCCTTGAAACTCCACTGAATGCAAACACAAGACACAATGTGTGACTGCTCATCTTAATTTCAAACCTCACTTGGGAAATTTGAATGAATAAAATTAAGAATGAAAATGGGGACTGTGTAGAGAAAGAAAATGCTGTTTCTCGTCCTTTACACAGATATGTCTGATAGCTGCTGCCTCTATGCCTCTCCTAAACTACACTGACATCACTTAGAAATTAACCTCTACAACTACTTTGGATTTACTGAATCCTTTCGCTCATTCCACCTTCCGCTTTATCTTGCAAATGACTGCACCCATCATGGTAATTTTGACTCCGAGACGGGTTACCGCCTCCTCTCTCAACTCGAAGGGCCAAATTCATTTTGAATGTACACACACAACTCGGCTCCTCATCAATACACACCACTAAAGTGCATTGCACCAATGATACAAACTTGCAGTTCTCACTCATTCTGTTTAATTCCACAGACACCTGAAATTCCATCGTTTACAAAATGTCCTTGGTTACCCTACCATCTAAATCACAATCTGAAGCTGAGAAATCAATTCTTCATAACTTCACTTGCAGTTGCATTTGGCTGGTATATCCTTCTAGATTTAAAGTGCACTGTTTAATTCCACAGACACCTGAAATTCCATCGTTTACAAAATATCCTTGGTTACCCTACCATCTAAATCACAATCTGAAGCTGAGAAATCAATTCTTCATAACTTCACTTGCAGTTGCATTTGGCTGGTATATCCTTCTAAATTTGAAGTTTGTGTGACTGCAGGGATCCATACTATTTGGTTCTTTTGGTAAAGTCACGTAGGTATAAAATAAATTAAATCACGACGTTTCGATTGCAACACAAACAATCATCAGGTGGGAAAAACACAGTAAGAATTGTTTTTGCTGAAGTGGGAAGGAGAGTATATCCTTGTCTGTTTACACATTCGTACAATTGGTTACCCTGTATCTTTTTAATGGTTAATTTTGTAATTATACTACGATCAGTCAAAAAATGTGCTGCCCAAGCCGACTCGCGCTACAGGGAATGTATTAATTAACACTGATTTATGTTTGCGTAGTATGTTCAATTTCTCATGCAACGCAGTTGTTTTTGATAGACATTTTTGCTTCATTGCTATACTTGTTTTGCTTTTGTAATTTTTGTGACTTCACTCTTCCAAAAAAGAGATGAGGCTCATCCTGGTCTCTTCTTCAGCTCTCTCCAAGTCACACAAAATACACTCTAAACTTGATCTCGGAGGGAGTGTCGTTAGCCACAAAAATTTAACAGAATAAGAGGGGGACACGAGCCCTGCGTCGTATGGATTGTGTTTGTTTCTGTCACCGCCGACTTTGACGAATATGTTCAGAGACATCTTGCCCTGCTGGATTTGTGACCTTTAACGGCTGTGTGCGGGTGTCATTATCGCTGCAGGCTCTACCCCGTGGACAAGTCTCGCACCAATGAGTTTGGAGTCTCCTACGGTGAGGACGACGCGTCCGGGAAACCCGTGCTAAGGCAGCCGAGCAAAGCCAAGCACGAGTGACCGCACTCGGCTTGGCGGCAGAGGATCGTCGTGGATGCCCGTCGTACAGACTCGTTACCGAAATCGCCACGCGGCCCCCGCCGGTTTGTAATGGCCACCGCGCCCTGGCCGTGCCAGCGCGACTTGGCCCTGGGGGGTGATGAGAGGTCACCGCAACGCAGTTGAAACGAGGAATCGAATTCGGCCACCGCGGTGCCATCGGCGTCCATTATTTATTTTTTTATATTCCGTCACAGAATCACATGCGTCCCACTCAAGCCAGCTCGTCGCGGTCACATTTTAATGGGCAGGGAGCACACAGGAAGTGCGCAAGTTGGTTGCGGGACGAGCCGCGACCCCCATGCAGCAGTGTTTCCCGGTCGCGCGAACATCGTGTTTGTGGAGCAGTGGGGTCGACTCCTCCCATATGTACGGAACCCTCGTCCTGTATCCCTGTGCGTTTCTAGTTTGAGCGAGTGTCTTGTAATGCTTTAATGATGGATGAAAGCAGACATTGCTAATAAACCGAGAGCTTTGAGTAATTGTGCGATTGTGACTGTGCATGGGGAGTGGGTGTCTGTCCAGCGAAATCTGCTCCCATGTGCACGTCATGCGGGGTTGTAGCTGTGTATGGGTGCATGCACTGCATGTGCTGTATGTGTGGTGTGTGGGCATGCTGTCCGTGTGTATGTTGTATGTGCACATATGGGGAGCGGTGGTGCATTAATTTTCCCCATAATTAACGCTCCCAGTGGCTGGGTTCCAGTCTCGAATTTGTGTGCTCAATGGTAATTGTTTTTTGACCAAATCTCCTCGATGTGAACTCAGCATTAATTGCGTATCTCCGTGTGGAAACATGAACAATAGTGGTAAATTGGCTTGTGAACTCGTCTCGAGATCTACGTTTTCTGTCAATATGCAAAATTCTTACTTTTATGTGGACAAAAAGTGATTTCCTGCTAAAATGAGCATTAAGACAGTGCTCATCTGTTTACAGCCCTGAGTCAGTGGTGGAGTTTCCACATGTATATAGCAGGGGTGGTGGGTATAGTAAACTCTTCATTTTTGCAGGGTTTATAATCGCGATTTTTCGTATTCGCAAAACATTGTTAGTGATTTTATTTGAAATTAGTGGGGTTATGAGGCATGGGAGGGGCATGGATCGTGAGAGCACGGAAGTCGTCCCCCCACGCCGCTCTGCCTCAGTCGGTTTTCACCTGCCGCACCGTTTACACGCCAATGATGTCCTGTTTAATAGTTATTTATATTTGCACTTTTTTATGTTTATGTAAATCTTTTATATAAGTTAAATAACAATAATACTATAAACTATATGCATCGATATATACATGTATATACAGTTTACGTGCATAATAGAGGTTTTTTGGGTTAGATCGCGTAAATATATAAATGTGTCATTAAACCCTCCACCACCCAACAGCCAACTAGTAAGGTTTGTCACGTAAGCAGAACGTGCCAATTCGTCACTAGTACAGCACACCGGTGTGTTAGCCAAGCCACAGCATTTGCAATTTGAGTACAACGTTTCGCCAGTAATTATAAATAGCATCATCAGGCGATAGCCAGATTTGTGGAGCAATCCTGTTTCGTTGCTTAAATATAGGGATATATGTGATGACGTCACTTGTGAGCCCTTGAGCGAAGAAACCTTCGTTCAAGAAAGCTTCTTCGCTCTGACGTGACAAACCTTGCCAATTGGCTGTGTCGGGTGGTGGCGGGTTTAACGACACATTTTTACACGATCTAATAAAAAAAACTGTATTAATGATATTGGTCGTGAAAGCCTACGTGTTAAACTGACAGATTATGTGATTCAGTGTAATATATGTTTATGCTCTTAACCCTATTTTCCTCAAACATTCGTGGTTTTAATATTAGCGCCGTTCTCCAAGAACGTATCCCCTGTGAATGTTAAGGGTCCACTCTACTGTTTCTGTATAGGACAACGGCTGTTTATATCCACACGAAGTGGGATCTCGTACGGATGATGGGCTGAGTCAACCCCAACCAGCATGTGAACTCGCAACTTTCCCATTACGAGCCGCTTCCTCAACTGCTGAGCCATCACCCGGCTGATTTAGACAATTCCTTTTATCACAAATGCAGGACCCTCTGAAAATGAGTCTCGAGACTCAGTGAGAATTGTCCGGCTACATCAATGACTCCAATAGGTGCTCGCTAACAGCACTTGCGCCCGCGGTCTGTGATGGTGACTGCCATGGAATTGTCAAAACGGGAGTGGTGATGGGGCCGCGAGCCCCACGTCTGGTGATGGATGCCCCGTGTCCTCTCTGATAAGATGCACGCAGACCTCTTTGTTTTCGCACCGTTGTTGCGCTTTCACGGCCACGGCGGCACTGAGAGATAACAAAGCTCAAAGCGCCGCCTCTCACACGGCCGGTCCGTCCGTGACTTACGATCGGCAAGTGCCACAGTGTGGTATACTGAGATAAGAGGGGGCAGAGGTAGTGGAGAACAAGGGCAGAGACAGACGGGGACCGGCTGTATCCACTTGCGCTGCTCTTGCTCTCAGGAACGGCTGCTGCTGCGGAGCTCCCCACACTGTTCACCGTGCAGGTGAGACTCAGGTGAGGTTCGGGTGAGACTCAGATGAGACGGTGTCGGGTGAGACTCGGGTAAGACTCGGGTGAGACTCGGGTGAGACTCGGGTAAGACTCAGGTGAGACTCGGGTGAGACTCGGGTGAGAATGCCTCGGGTGAGGTTGCGTATGAGGTGAGGTTCTGGCGTGGCCCAGCGCTAGCGCATTTACCGCTTGCTGCAGAGGTTTGCGGTTCTAGTCCAGCGGCCGTCCTGGTTAATACTTCGAGTGTTTTACCTATTAAATATATGCCATCTGCTTCGCAATGGACGTTAAAGATCCCGTGACTTTGTGGAAGAGTGCCATTGTGTGCCAAGATCCAAAATATCTAAACATTAATTATTTTCAAAACTCGTAATTGCATAGCAATCGTTGCATCCTACTGCGAAAACTTTGCAAGACCCTCGACAAAAGTAGCCTTGAGACTCGGTAGAGGCTTTCCTGGGTAAAAAAGCGGAATAACGTGAAAAATAAACGAGGATCGTGTGTCCTATGTAGGCGAGGCAATCGGGGACGAGACTTGTGGGAATGAGAACATCGCGGGGATCCTGTTGGGTGAAGCTCCGTGGACAGGGGGAAGGGACTGGTGCTCGCGGGACCGGACAAGATGCGGGATTGGAACGCCCAGACACGCGGATGAGAGACAAATGCGTTTAATTCCATACTTGGCACAAATATCCCAACGCCAACGTTTTATGTGTGGAACCCACGCGTCGGAACGCTGTCTGGGAATTTGGGGCGCCTCGGTAGCCAGATGTTATCTGCCTCACATGAATAAATTATGTTGAAATTATTTTTTTGGTTTAAATTACCCACAACACACCGAGTCTGTTTTCGTGTTTTGTTGTTGAGAATCCCAGCGTTATCCAGAAATTCCACAAAAGCAATTCCATTTGAGTTTCTATGCACCCAGATTTAAAGCAGGTTCTCAAGTGCAGGGAGCTGACGGCTTAAGCCCGGTCACCAATCATTACACAAAAGCAATCAGATGAGATACAGTATATCTTTTTTGAGGTTAGGATTAGGTAACCAGATGTTATCTGCCTCACCTGGTATATAGGAGGTCGTAGATTAAATCTCAATCCTGATGACTATATTTGGAGTTTTCGATTTTTTTCCCGTGATCACGTGGCTTTTTGTCCGGGTCCTCCAGTTTTTCCCTACATATTTAGAAACATGCGTTTAAAGTATTTGGTTGCTATAAATTTTCACGTGATAAGCCACTTCGTTTCGCTATCATTTGTGGCCAGGTAGCTTCTGAAAAAGAGCTATAGCTCAGCGAGCCTTAGCTGTTCCAGAGTCGACACTGATCAGATTTAAATCCGATCTCGCGTGTTTTGCATGGCGACTTGTTATTAGTTTGAACCAAGCGTCACTATATATTTTATTATTTTATTGTTTCCCTTCAACGTGACTTTACCGAAAGAACCAAGAATATGAATCACTGCAGTCACGAAAGCTTTAAATCAAAATTTAAGCGTCACTATGTTGTGTTGAGCTGTTAAAGGGTCATCAGATGGTGATCCGTTTTGATCAGGACTTCATATCTCACCGAATTTTTTTCAGGTCACTTGTAGACAGACTGGAGTAGGTACGTGAATAGTAGCCACAGCGAGAGGTAAGCTTTACACGGCGTAGCAGCATACAGAAATATTTTCCTTGAGTAACCAAACCGGACAGACCCCAAATGAGTCCCTGGTGGTAACGAGAAACAGGGTTGGCGATGTTCGGGCTGCAGCAGGCTCTGCTATCTGTCATATCCCTTTTGTGGCTCTTATCTCAGCCGACCAGGCCTGCGGGCGGCTCATCCTATTGTCTAAACAGCGGCTCTGACTGCGGACAGCAATTACAAAACAAAGGCAAGTGAAATGCATGTGAGTCACCTGGACAGACGGTTACGGTGACGGGGCCGTCTCGGATGAGTATCAAGAGGATCGCGTATAGGAGCTGCAAGCCACGTAAATGGGTAGAGGTGAGAGTGGAACCTTTCCTTTGGAGGGGTTTGGTGTTTGTGCCCTCAACTCGGGTGAACATCGGCAGCTGAAGAGGTCCCCTCGTGATCGTCTCCTTGCTGTGTGTCCGGCCTGTGTCCTGATCTCTACACAACCCTCGTTTTCGTGGGTTGGTAACTCAAGCAACGAGGGCCTCTCTAAACCACAGATAGACTATACTCTTTGGCTATATCGGTAAAGTCACGTAGATAGAAAAATAAATAATAGATCACGACGTTTCGATCGCAACAACAAGCAACCGTCTTTTCAGGTGAGAGAGAGAAAGAAACCGCTGTGGCGGGGCATTGTGTCGATCCGAGGGGGGGGGAGGGGCTCGCCCGCTGAGTGAATTCCTGCAGTCACGAAAGCTTCAAATCAACACAGATACGCTATTTTATTTTAACTAAACAATTTTTATTTTACCAGGTAAGGACCACTGAGCTATACGCTAAATAAAGTGGCTTACCATGGAGACATTTATCGCAGCCAAATACTCTACTCGAAATATACAGCAGGCGTCAGGGTTGGAATTGAACCCACGACCTGCATACCAGGTAAGGGAGTGTTCGTGAAGTTCTCATGGCGCCGCCCTATATTGTATCGCCAACTCTGTCGCGGCGCGCCTCACACAAGCCAGCTACGGCCTTCAAGTCAGACTGCGTGGTTTCCTGAGCATTGGGGCAGTGCTCGTGTCTTGCAGCCCTGAGCCAGAGGTAGAAATGTCCACTTTTCTGTTTTGAATTCCCCACAAAGTGGTGCTGATTTTATTAGCCACAGATGGATGATGGCCTGAGTCAAACCCCTAACCAGAATTGGAACTCACAACGTTCAGATTATGAGCCAATCGCTCTACTGCTGAGCCACCCGGCCAGTTTGGACAATTCCTTTTATGCCAAATGCAGGACCCTCCAAAAAACGAGTCTTGAGACA